CCCCTACATCAAACACCAGCCCCATCCGTAACTCTTTCTCCCGCAGCAGCCGTTCGCTTGACGTTCAGCAGCAGGAAACGCGCGAGCCTCAGTCCAAGCTCGCTTCGGATTGGCGACCTCAACATTCCATGCTTTACTGACCACAACAACCTGCACTCCAGTATACTCCGAATCGATCCTCCTCGCGTTGGATATTGGAGTTCCCGGATTATCCAGAAAGAATGCACTGATGTCCGTCACGGCTACCTACCCCGTCATGGCAGACTTGAAAGAGCCAGCACATGGGAACCTTTGGCCCAACTATGGTGCCCCGGTGCATCAGTTGCCAGCTCGATTCAACAGCAGCCTCGATCCGGGATTGTCAAGTCACTCAACCACGCCGACGCATCCAGCACGACCACGTAACGGCCTTCCTCCAGCGGACAGCACGGGATATCCATACAATCGATATGCACACGACGAGTCGGATACTTACGATAGACCCCATCATGCTAATCTGTCCTCCCAGCACGGCTACCACGAAAGCCTAAAGCGTCCATATTCGCACGTGGAGCAGCCGCCGTACCAGGAAATCGTCCAGGATCTCAGACATGATGGGTCGAAAATGACCGTGAACCACGACCATAAACTCTTGTCCTTCAAAAAGGTTCCGGACAAGCACACCATAGTCGACCAGCATGGTCGCATACAGCAACTCGAACTCTCTGCTCAGCTTCACGGCATGTTCTTTCTGTCTGAGATGCCTTCCAGTACTAGCGATGGGACGGTCCTCCAACCGGAGCTGACTTGCTACCGACGAAACCTCTTCCAGATCAGCGGTTCGCTGATTACTTCCCGGAGTCCGCTGTCCGTTATCACTGAAGCGGGCGAAACTGTGCCCGTCAGTAGTACCGAGGTGACCGTCTCCGCAATGGAATCGGTGGACGGCCACCCCGTGCGGCTGATCGTCATCCCTTGGAAGACCCCGCCACCGAACTCGTCCGAGGTCACCCAGGGCCCGGACCAGGAGCCTCCATCACTTCCCTTGATACCTTTCCAGGAGGACGGCACAGAAACGGAAGGAGAATACGCAGTATACCCAATCGGATGGAGACGGCTGCAGTTTCGAATGTGAGTTGGAAGAGTTTGGGCGCACTTGCAACCCACGGTGATGCTGACATGCAATCCCTAGTGCGACGGCGAATAACGGTCGACGGAAGGAGCTCCAGCAACATTTCGTCTTGCACCTGAAAGTTGTTGGCACCTTGACCAACGGTAGCAAAGCTGTCCTCGCAGAAGCGATTACGGCTCCCATTGTAGTGAGAGGAAGAAGCCCGCGAAACTTCCAGGCAAGAAAAGAGATCCCGCTCCTAGGATCGAGCGCTGGGTCGAGGGGACAAGCCTTGGTAGAGACGGGGGTCGGAGTCGTTGCTGGGCCACTAACGGTGAAGCCTCACGAGGCCAAGGCGAGAGGCCTAGACATACAAGTGCCGCGGGGAGCTTTCACTTTCACCAGCGGCGGCCCAAGGATGCCCAGTACCCAGCTGGGACCTGTTCGACAAAGGTAAGCAGCGGTTCCTTACGGGGTTTTCCGGACGCTTCCGTCGTATGGCGACAAACCCCCCTTTGGGTTGAACACGGTACTGACGAGTAACAATAGCTCATACTCGAACTGGGCGCCAGCAACCATTATGCCGTTGCCTCAGAACACGACGCCCGCCACCGCCAACTATCCCCCGACAACAATGCCAGGCGAGCATTATCCCAAGGCACCCATATCTAGCGCGCCAGTGTTTGGCGCAGACTCACAAGATATTCCTCTCTCGGCCGGCGGGGCGCCAGTTCAGGTGCCCATGGCGTCGAACGAAGCTCCTAGACAACCACAGCCAGTAGCCCGCACGTCGTATTCGTATGCTCAGTCGACAACGGGGCCCCCGCCCCTGTCTTTGTCAACGACGACAGATGCAGCAGCAAGCATCCCGAGATATGTCGACACCAATCCTCGTCCGACGAAGAGTCCTCGTCATGGGAGCCACCCCTCCATCAACAGTACTAGCTCCATGGGGAATAATGATGGGTCTTCCGAATATCGATACAGCTCGTCGTACCCGCCTGTGAACCAAAACACCAGCGAGATGCCGGTGCCGAATTATGGGACGGATGCTCCCTCGGGAACGAACCCTACTCCGCCACGGGAATACTACGCACCTGCAACCGGATGGACGACGTCAGCAGGAGAACCAACCTCAACCATGGCGTATGCCAATGAGAGCAGGTCCTACACGTCTCCAGGGCAGTACAAGAGCAGTACCGCCGTCGCTCCGGCGAAGAGCGAACCCTTGGGGGCGACTACAGGTCCATCCGCAGTCTATAATGGCCCACAACGAGGATCATTCGACGCGATGAACCATTATTCTTGGCATGCCGTTTGAAACAGAATGGTGCCGGGTGCGCGGCGATGAATATCCCGCTGAACATATGGGTAGCATGTATGGGATTCATTCCTCTGCGACTCCCTTGTCGGGCTTCCGCTGGGCCTTTTTCTTTTCTTCTGTTCGTCCTTTTCTTCGTCTTTTCTTCTTCTTTTCCTGGCGTTTCGGGGTGCGAATCACCTGGGGCCGGTAGGCGGTGACTTGGGATTGGTGACAACTGTATGAATACTTCGACACGAGCTTCGTTCGAGGCGGGAACGAGATCCGCCTTGTCGTCCACGTCGTGAGTAGGGTACCGGAGCTGTTGGATTCAGCGACATGTCATGCTGGCTGAACACGATATTTTTTCCCCCTGTCGCGAGCACGGAGGTGTCTTTGTATATAGCAGGGGCTTGTCGGAAATCTCTTGGTTTCTTTGCGAGGATAATGGATTTCAGACGCCAGTTGGTCTGTCCTTACTCCAGCACATGGCCATCCTGCTGCCAGAACCGACTCGAGGGACGTACAACATAGCGGCGGCGGATATTTGGTTTTTTTAAGACGGGCCTTGGCGTTGGTCGGAAGGTCTCGATGCTCTTTTCTCGGAGCACCCAAGGCAACCGATCCGAGGAAGCTGGCGATTCTGAGATGTGATGCCAGGTGATTGGGGTTTCCTTCGTATATGAGGCAGAGTCGTGGGGATTTTGGTAGTAAGTAGGTAGCAAACAAACTGGGAGCGATCCAAACCAGCCTCTTAACCCTTAGATCCAGTGAAGTATAATATGGCCAGAGCGGTAAAGTGTGGTGTTGTCGAATGTCTCATGGCCTGGGCGTAGTAGATTTCCCAGTCACCCAGCACGGCAGCGGGAGCCCGGTTCTTGGAAATCTAGTCTGAAGGAGCTAGTTGGATACTGTAGTGAAAACGCAAGAATGGGGTCCATCAAAGCGCAAGGCGGGCCATAGAACATGGAAGAGCAAGAGCGCAAGGATGTTAGGCACTGCGGACGATGATGAATAAAATAAAGGTGTATCTCAAAGGGGTTTCCTATGACAGGATGGTCCGAAGAAAGTGCTCATAGGCCGGACCTATGTAGAAAACGATTAGAAGTAGGAGTGACGAGGAGAGAAAAGCGATGAGACAAAACCTTGGGGGGAAGGAGAACGAGAGCCGGACCGGAGGTCGGAGACCAGGGACATTGGTTCTCGGGTCCGGTATTAATACCAGTCAGCCCAAGCACGACGAAAAGATCGACTTCGAACTTTGAGCCTGGGAACATCCCTGGTCCCCCCTCACGTTACTTTTGCAGAGAAAGTACAAAGTAATGGCCGAAAAGGGCGAAAGTAGGCGGGAGAGGCGGGGCGTGATGCGGCTCCGCAGAAAGGTTCACAACTCCGAGAGTCATGATGGTGGGGGTTGGGCTAATGGAGATGATAATTATTAGTTGGCCGTCACATACTGAGAGAAAACGGCCCCGTTCTGCCTCCCCGTGGACCAGTGGTGAACCCGAAAACAGGCCAGGTCGGCAAAGGCAACAGGGTTGGCGCAGGCGGATCCTCAGAAGGAAGTGTGTCATTGCTGAGAAGGAGGAGGGGAAACGATCCCAAGGAAAAAGCCACTTCGGCGAAGTGAAGTACGAAGTAGGTACGGTATTGGCCTTGGGTGCTCCGTACCTTAGACATGGTTCATGGATGATGGAAAGGGGTGCTTGCTGCTGATCCAGGCGGCTGGGACCGACGGAATACCCTATCCGGAATGTACAACGTACGTCGTGGTCTTGCATGCCTCTGACTTGTGCATTTATTAAGTGGTGGTGGGAAAAGTCTCGGGAGCGGCAGCGGTAGCTGATTTCTGATATCTAGAATCTTGTTGATTGGGTTCCGTTGACAAATCTCTGGCGGATTGTATCTAATGGTTAAACCCCAGTGATGACTACTCCGTACTTGAAATATTTACGGACTGTAATCGGACTTGAGTCACCTCGGCTTGCATGGTTTTGACGTTCCCTAACAACTTTCTCATGTCAAGAGAGGACTGAGAGACAATTGGAGGATTTGATGAGAATTACAACAACGTACCCTACCTACACGTGTAGAGGAAGGACGATCGACAGCAGCGTATCCCGTCTTGGCTATGTGATTAGTTACACTGTACACGTAAGGTAGATAGGCCCCCTGTTTAGGTAGCTTGCACTCACTGGTTTGGTTAAACGTTAGATCCCGCCCTCCGCGCCGGGTCACGAGGCTATTCTCCACTGACGGCATTCTCCAGAAGGTACCTACTCCCGTATCACAGCTTCTCGCGCGTTTTCTCCTGCTTAATGTTATCCCCTCCATAAGTACTTCACGGGTATGCCCTAACTGCCCTTAGGCAGTTAGCCGTCAACCAAAAAGAAAAAAAGAAAAAAAAAAAAGAATACGTTCGCCAGCCTCTAGCCGTCACTGGGATCGTATTCATCAGTTGCTTTCATCCCTAAATTTTTGTTTCCGTCTCTGAAGAAATTGTCACTGCAGGTGGGTGAGGAAGGAAAAATTGATTAAAGGGAGCAACACGACCTGAAACCGCGGGTCTTTACTAAGGTTTCAATATTGCAACCTCAGAAGTGCCAGCAAAACGTCACTGCGACCCTTGGACCAGGCCCAAGCAGGGATGTTTCCCTAGCCCAGGTCCCCGAGGTCCCCGAAAGCAACGCTAGATCATCCAAACCAGCACACGGTACCTACTCGGACGCGTTGTTACGGACATTACTTTGTCTCCGAAACAGAAGCCCATCAGGGGAGCCAAACGACTTGTCAAGATCGAATTCCGCAACCCACCCTGCGGAATCAGAGAAAGCTCGGGTGTCAGCATCCCGCCATGTTCCAGCTCCTGGATGCTAAACGGTCAGTTTTGTGGTCGCAGGAACATTTTCTCATTATTCGACTCCAGCCCACCGATTTATCACGACACCGTGCTTGCTATTGCTGCTATGCCTAGGCCTATGGACTGACTTGACCACTCATAGCGTCCGACGGGAAGATCTTGCTGACTCGGCCTCGGACGAGTCCTCATCTGGTGATGAGAATGATTCGCCCCATGCTGAGCTGAGGGCGAAACTCCATGCGCGCCTTGCGAGCGCTCTCAACCTTGGCGAATTTCTGCAAGCCCCCATCACTGCTCCTGCATCGGCGGCCAACGAGGAGCGTCACGGCCAAGACTCGGAGTCGTCTGCCGCTCAAGAAGGACATGACGCAGAAGATGCGGAGGAAGCGTTCGAGTTTCGGCTTTTTGGCACGGCCCAGCCACCGGTCAAAATCGTCATCCCAACCGACGAGATGGAAGGCGGGCCCGGAGGGGAAGGTGGCATGTTGCGACGGCGGCCAGTATCCTACTACCTCGCTCATGCGCCGACTCCAGCCCAGCAAGCCGAGTTCGCCACCGCCGCCGTCAGCGGGGAAGATGTCCTCCGCCGCGCCCAGCAGCGGTGGTGGGGCATGGAGATGCCCTGGAAGGTGACGCACATCACTGCCCAGACGAAAACCAAAGGCGGGCGAACCGTGTCGGTATCCTTCTCCCCAGCAACAGCAAACGGAGCGTCCCAAGGGACGGAGAAGGAGAGGAAGAAGCCGAATAGGCGGCCCGGGAAGAAGAAGCGTATCGCCATGCGGGTGAAGGCCAGGGAAGCCCAGCGCAGAGCCGAGGAGGAACAGAAGTCTAAACTGACGAAGGAGGAGGCGATGCGTGAGAAGAAGAAGAAGCTGAACCGGCAGAAGAACCAGAAGAGGCGGGCCAAGGCTAAGGAGGCCAAGATGGTCAACAAGTCTACGAGCGAGATGGGCGAGGGTGAAACCAGGGATCAGGACGCGAGTTCTGTTGCTTCAAATGATTCGTGAGGAGGAATTTATAGCGGGCGTTATGGGCGCTCGATGACAGATCCAGCTGATATTCAGTGTTGTATTGAAAACAGGAAGCAGGGTTGGTTTACTCGAAATTCGGCAGCCGCAATGAGTTCAGCGTCGCCCTTTCTTTCTTTTCCCCTTCTTCTTCCTTTTATTTCCCCCGCGCGTTCTCTGCGTCTACTTCTCCCCTGAGATAGACAGCACGGATTTAGTACGGGGCATGGAATTCCCGTACGCATAAGGGCGATGGTTGACCCTTTCCGGCTACTCTTTCATTCTTCGACGAAGTCAGGGACATGCCCTATTATCATATTATCACGAATCTGTGTGCACTAGGTAGTGCTCCAACTACGGGGATATGGATTAGATAAACATCAGGAGGACTGGCTTTTTTGATCATGTCATGATTAGGAGCGTCTTGTTTTGATACAGTCACCATCGAATTCTGAGAACTGGTCGCTGGTTTGAACGGAATGGCCAATCACGAAAACAAAAATACAAAAGAGAGACAAAAGAAAGGAGATAGTCTTATTATGTTGTTTGTATATAAAAACCTCAAGTCTTTTTACCAACAGCTTCAGGAGGAGATCTTTCCATCCCTGAAAGCTAGTGTTCGATAGGGGACTTATCGTACTTGTTGATGCTCCGTCTACCCAAATCATGTCGCGAAACTACACTTCAAACACAATCATATAGAGAGTCTACAGAGTTAGTCTAGACTTGTAAACGCAGTACGAAGACCGAAGGTTATTCAACCTTGAAATTGTCCTCTAGTCCCTTACCTTATATAACTGTTCCTGCTCCTTACCTAATCAAACTTTTTGGCATGAGTGGGGCTTTGAGGTAAAAGGAATGTGGAGCTCAGGAAGTGCCCGGGACAGCTTGAGTAATGCCGGGATGGAACTCGCGTGTTACCTGCTGCCCCTTGATATCTGCTGGCGGCTTTCGAAGGTGCAAAAAAATTTCCCAATTCATCCCCATCCACATCTCCCGACACGACCTCTCCAAACTTCACGCGAACACCATCCTTTTCTTCCCCCTACCCCCTCTACATTCTTTTTCTGTATGTTGTAATTTCTTAGCAATTCTTTAATAAGTGGAACAAAATGCCTGCTGCGTTCCGCGCCATTTCTCCGTTTGTACGGACGGCGCAAGCTTCCCTGCGCCAGGGTCGTCTCAACCCCTTCCAAGCTGCACTCAAGACGCAACATGTTTCCCCCATCCTCAACATCTATCGCACATACGCGGTCTACGACCGGAGCAAGCCCCACGTCAACATTGGTGCGTCGGCGAAATACTTCCACCTCTAAACTGGCTGGCATTTGAACTGACCGTACATCCTTGAATAGGCACCATCGGTCACGTCGACCATGGCAAGGTACGAAATTTCTGCATGATTACCCGCATCTTCCTCGAGGAAAGAGAAAGACGAAAAGAAGAGAACATAAAAACAGGAAAGGAAAAGACAAAAGAAAGCTGACGCTCGAATTTGACAGACTACTCTATCAGCTGCTATCACCAAGCGTCAAGCAGAGAAGGGCCTAGCCAGCTACCTAGACTATGGCTCCATCGACAAGGCCCCGGAAGAGAGGAAGCGCGGTATCACAATTTCCGCGTCGCACATCGAATATTCCACAGAAAACCGTCATTACTCGCACGTTGACTGCCCTGGTCACGCTGATTACATCAAGAACATGATCACCGGTGCCGCCAACATGGACGGCGCCATCATCGTCGTCGCGGCCTCCGATGGTCAAATGCCCCAGACCCGTGAGCATCTCCTCCTCGCCCGTCAGGTCGGTGTCCAGAAGATCGTCGTATTCGTCAACAAGGTCGACGCCATTGATGACCCTGAGATGTTGGAACTTGTCGAGATGGAGATGCGCGAGCTTCTCAGCACCTACGGCTTCGAGGGTGACGAGACCCCCGTCATCATGGGCTCCGCGCTGATGGCCATGAACGACCAGAAGCCTGAGATTGGCGCGCAAAAGATCGACGAGCTCATGAAGGCCGTTGATGAATGGATCCCCACCCCCCAGCGTGACCTTGACAAACCCTTCCTCATGGCCGTCGAGGACGTTTTCTCCATCTCCGGTCGTGGCACCGTCGTCAGCGGTCGCGTCGAGCGTGGCGTTCTGAAGAAGGACTCCGATGTCGAGATCATCGGCAAGGGCCATGAGGTCATCAAGTCCAAGGTCACCGACATTGAGACCTTCAAGAAGTCTTGCGACGAGTCGCGTGCCGGTGACAACTCTGGCCTCCTCATCCGCGGTGTCCGCCGCGAGGACATTAGCCGCGGTATGGTCGTCGCCGTCCCCGGTACCGTCACCGCCCACCAGACTTTCCTGTGCTCCCTCTACGTCCTTTCCAAGGAGGAAGGTGGCCGCCACACTGGTTTCCGCGAGAACTACAAGCCCCAGATTTTCCTCCGCACCACCGACGAGGCCTGCGCTCTGACCTTCCCTGAGGGCACCGAGGACGCTGCCCACAAGGTGATCATGCCCGGCGACAACGTTGAGATGGTTGCCCACCTGCACCATCCCAGCGCTATCGAGGTCGGCCAGCGGTTCAACATCCGCGAGGGTGGCAGGACTGTGGCCACGGGTCTCATTACCCGCATCCTGAAATAAGGGATCACCAAGTATGCAGGAGCAAGCTTGGACGGATGGACGACAATTGCACAGTCATGACTGTCTTCCGGGGCAGATTCGACTAAGTGCAAGAAGGGAGCGGAACAATGTTCGCAGGCAAAACAAAAAAGGGGTGTTGCCGGCTTGAATTTTCATGATCTCATGTACGACTAACCTGCATGCATCCATACTTTGAGTCCCAGGCTCTTCTGTACATTCATCGACTTCCGGGCTTAAAAGCTCTCCGCTCTCCTTCTCCCTTGTCTTCTAGTTGTACTTTTAGATAGATGCCGAATCTGGGAATAATGCACATTTACCAATGGATGGTCGGTGTTTCCCCCTAACTCTTGTTCGTAAATCCGTTGACTTGCTGATAAGTCCATAGCGGCAACATCAGCGAGTTGTGTAATTGTGAAGATGCATTGCGACGATTCAAAGTAAGAATGGCAAAAGGCATAATGCCTGATTGGTCTCCTATTCAGGCCAAGGTCTTCACCTCATTGACACAACATCAACTCGCCCCGAATTACGTAGCCAGAGATGGGCATTGGTTCCATCGTTTTGGTGATTTGGCTTGTCAGATGCCGTAGCATTCATCTATCCTCAGAGGAATGCCCGGCCGAATGCATACCGTCGTCCGTACTTCCATGCAAAAGTAGAATACCGAGAACTCCATCCGTATTCCTTCGGGATTGAGGGGAAGCCTCTACCTTCCCTATGATGAACAAGGTGTTGCCTTTTTATCCTCCCCAGGCACTGCTAGGCCGAACTTTTCTCGATATGCCGAAACGAAACTTTGCCCTCCTCAGCTCAAACCCCCTTCGATTGGTATCGTGACGCCCTTAACGGTACTATTGGCCCCTGGTGTTAGTCTTCGCTCGGTGTTCCTTTTCGTTTTACCATCCTCTTGCTATCTGGTGATAGAAGGGTAGAGTTCGCACCTTGTTGAAGCCAATGTCCTTGGCCTTCTCGCGGAAGCACTGACGGCAGAGGTTGAGGTCGTACTTGCGGATCAGACCGGCCGAGTGCTTGCAGACGCGGCTATAATATAGCATTCCGTCAGCATTTGTTTCCTCCATGATAAAAACATATCAACCCAATGTCTCCCCCCCAAAACACAAATGGACATAAAAATCGACATGTAATGGCGGGAGAATGATTCGAGGGCATTCGGAGGGGAGGTGGGGAGCTTTCGGATTGTGTAGGTTCGGCATACCAAGAGCGGGAGCCCTTGCCGTAGCTGCGCGGGCGGGAGTTCCAGACGGATTCGTGAGACATGCTGGGCAGATGAGTTCTGTCTTGCGAGACTGACGAGTTGGTGGGCTTGATGAGATCTTGTCTGTCGTCGTCGTTGAGCGGACTGGGTGGGTGGGTAGTGCGGCGCGTCTGGTCGAGCTTTTCGTAAGGACAGGGTAAATTTTGTGTGGGATTTCTCGAATTTTTGCGGTGGTCTCCCATTGGAGGAGGGTTACTGTCCAAGCGAGGCCAGGTATGGGTGGTCTGTGCACCAAGTGTCTGAAGCACGTGATGGAGCATGCTCAACCCCTGACTGCACCGCTAACCTCTATTGGATTAGCGTCTCTCCTTCGATAACGATAACGATAATGCATTGGTGGCTTGAAATCGTCAACCAGGTGGGTGATGTAACAAAGCAAGCTGGCTTCTTTCTGATTTCAAAGCCTTTCTATCAAGCATTCTAACAAGATAGCACTGGCATTTGCTCTGGTGTGACCGTCTGCATATCGTTTTTATTTTGACACCCCTCTTTTTGCTATCATTCACACACATTCTGGGTCAATCCTAATCTCGTACCCGCAATGGTTCTCTTGAAACCTCTCGTCCTCGGAGCTCTTGCAGCTACCGCAGCTGCCAAGTCTGCCGTCATTGACCTTCTCCCATCCAACTTCGACAAGGTTGTCTTCGAGTCTGGCAAACCCACCCTTGTCGAGTTCTTTGCCCCATGGTGCGGCCATTGCAAGACCCTCGCTCCTGTGTATGAGGAGCTGGCCCTCTCCTTCGAGAGCCACAAGGACAAGGTCCAGATCGCCAAGGTCGACGCCGACGCCGAGCGAGAGCTAGGCAAACGCTTCAAAGTCCAGGGCTTCCCGACTCTCAAGTGGTTCGACGGCTCGAGCAAGGAACCTGAGGAGTACAATGGCGGCCGCGATATCGAAAGCCTGACCAACTTTATCATCGAGAAGGCCGGCATCAAGCCCAAGAAGGCCCAAAAGCCCCCTAGCGAGGTTGTCATGCTGAGGGAGGGGACTTTTGAGCAGGAGACTGGCAGTGATAAGCACGTTCTTGTGGCCTTTACCGCCCCTTGGTGCGGACGTACGTCGCTCCCTTCCTTTCCCTATTTCCATTCTGATTCGTTACGCCTATTCTCTTATGACGGGCCGACAGCTAACGCCGGCGCCTTGCTTACTTCCAGATTGCAAGAGCCTTGCTCCTATCTGGGAGGCCATCGCCGACGACTTCGCCCAGGATGAGGACGTTCTAATCGCCAAGGTCGACGCCGAGGCGGAGCACAGCAAAGCCCTCGCGAAATCCCAGCGCATCACCTCCTATCCGACCATCAAGTATTTCCCCAGGGGTTCGACTGAGGCGGAGATCTACAGCGGCGGTCGCACCGAACAGGCCTTCCTGGACTTTATCAACGAGAAGGCAGGCACCCACCGTGCCGTCGGCGGTGGTCTTGACGCCATCGCTGGCACCATCTCCGCCCTCGATGCCGTTGTCGCGAAATTCACCGGCGGCACTACACTTTCTGAGGCGGCCGAGGAGGCTCAAAAGGAGGCGGCTGCCTTGGCCGACGGCGCTCAGCAGAAGTATGCGGAGTACTATGTGAAGGTGTTCAACAAGCTCAACAGCAGCGAGGGTTGGGCGGCCAAGGAGCTTGCCCGTCTCGAGGGTATCCTCGCTAAGGGTGGTCTCGCCCCCTTCAAGCGGGATGAGCTGACCAGCAAGACCAACATCCTCCGGAAGTTTGTTAAGGACACGGCTGAGCGTGTCCGTGAGGAACTGTAAATATTGGGCGTGGCATAGCATGGTGCGCTCTGGAACATTGCTTTGTACATAATAAGAGAAGATCAAGCCGTCTTCCACGGACGAGCTTTGTTTGATTCCGCACCCATTTGGTTCTAGGTAGACCTGGTGGGTTGTTTTCCATAGCCTAATGAGCCTTCGGAGCACGAAAAAGGAAATGATTTATGATATCATAAACTCCCTATTCATAGATGACTCGCAGACTCTGATTTACCACTGTGTGCCTGGGTTGTCCCAGTAAAAGCCGCAAGGCAATATGCTTAGACCCCAGAGCAAAATGGCCTGTTTGAACAGCTGTTTGAACAGCTTTTTGACTTGGTTGGAGCCCGTCCGAGACCCTATTCCGCTGGACAGATTCAAGAGTTTTGGGAAGAATTCGAATCTCCCTCCTTTCCTTTGTCTGCCAGCAATGCGGCCTCGAGGTTATCCAGTCGCCTGGACATCTCGTCCACTAAGTGGCCCGTCAGAACGAACACGTGAGACTTGCAAATGATGTTTCAACAGCAGCATATTCAAAGGTAGAATGCGTTACCAGATCGCTAACTTACTCTTTGCAAATATCTCGCTTGATATACCAGCGAATTTGTTAGAGAGCGTATTGAGGAGCTCTTCCACGGCTGCATTCACATCGGCTGCCTTCGTGTCCTCATTGCTCTGGAAGGTCGTTAGTACATGCACCAAGTTCCGTTCGTCGACTGTCGGGATTTCGCTGTCCTTTATTCCTGAATACTCCAGAAACGACGACGACGGCTTAAGAGAGGACTTGATTGTCGAGCTGGATCAGTGAAGGACTGGATCGGAGAACTGAGTACGCACACTGCCTTGGTTCAGATTGGAGTCGGGGTTGTTGGTGGCCATTTTTACGTATTTTTATAAGGTATGCACCTCCTTTCCAATGTCCTGATATGGTTTTGTTGTACACGGTGGTACTCGGTTGTCATTAATTACAAGGAGATAGTTGTTTCTGCACACGCTGATGAGATAGACGCCTTGTTCGTTCTCGCATGAGGCAGGTTGAAGCTGGGTTGGTCAACGGGAAGATACGTACCAGCTACGTACACAGTGTTATTACTACCTAGGTAGGTAGTTGATTTCTCATATGGGGTGGCGCAGCTTCACTAAGGTACGTAGCTACAGTAGATACCCAGCCACATCTCATTAGCTCACGCCACAGGAGCCAAAGACCGCATGATCTTCCACGATTCTCACCCAGCTCCTTTCAATATTTCGACTTCAATCCTCAGCCCTACCCTTTGCCTCGAAGAACATTAAAGCGAAAAAAGAGGCAATCTCTGACGCGACATATCGGTATTATAATGGAACCAAGGTAACGGGAAATCGTATTCGAAGGCGCGGCCCTACTTGCCAATATGCCGCCTCGACGACCACCCGACGTCGCTACTTCCATCCTCTTCATAGTATTCCTCTGGTTTGTCATTACCAGTCACGAGAGCCCTAGTCAACTACTTTCGTTTAGTAGCTTCTTGTCAGAGCGTTATGCGAAACACCAGGCCGCGCTCGAACGCTTGAACATATCGACCTGGGGTGATTTCTCGCCAAGACAAAGCGATAGTCCAGCTCACTTCAGTGGATCGTATCTGAATCTGACGGGATTCCGGGAAGAGGATGGTTTCGCTTGGGACGACCTGGCTCGGTTTCGAAAGCAGTGCCATGAGTGGAGTCGCCGAGTCAACCCGCCCATGGCGGGGGGAGAGAAAGGGCACCCATCGATCACACAACAGGCAGTTTGGCACAACGCCACTGGTTTTGTCAAGGGTCATTGGGTTCGCAAGGACTCCTCAGCAAATCGGACACAGGCCGACTATAACCTCACAGCCATTGCCCCCGACTACACATGGCAAGATTCTGGCCACACGTGGTTCAGGAACATCACTGGCAGAGAAGGGAAAATTGCGGTCGATATCGTCGATAACGGGCGCAACGTGGCGCAGCTATATTACGACGCCCTACTAGACGAGGCTGCAAGAGCTGGCGGTCTCATTCGGACAGCGAAGGCGTCTCTTGAAATTGAAGATGTGGGAGGGAGCGGGAGGACGTGGGAGATGCGCTTGCACGGCGTCCAGTGGCCACGCACCGGGGTCTTCCTCATGACCACGACAAGCGAGAAGTTCGACGGCATATTTGGCCTGCCTCACCTCAGTCCCGGCCCGGAATATTTTCGCTCCAGTCAGACGCTGCTGAACGAGACGCTGGCTACGCTCATCCGCAAAGAGAAGGCGTCCCTCTTCGCCGACGTGCCTTCCTCCTTTTCGTCTGAAACGGTGGACTTCCAGCAAGACTCACTCAGCCCCTCTCCGCGCTGCGAGTTCGTCCTGTTTGCTCAGGTTCATCCTCTGGACAACTCTCAACTCGACATGAAGGGGTTCAATTCCGACTTGGCGAGTATTTCCGAAGTAGTGGGCGATATCGAACGGGAGCTTCGGTTTCCCAACGGTGCACCGATTCGCGGGATTCCGGACCTACAAATGTCTGCCATCCTGTGGTCCCCAGATTGCGCCTTCTTCCTCGAGACCAAAGGGCCTCCTGCGTACACGCCGGCAGAGGGTCGGCATCTGGTTGGAAGCAAGATTGAAGTGATCTTTGGCCAAATTCGGTTCTGGGTGCTTACCTGCGCCGGCGCGTTTGGGGCTCAGGTCTTTCTGCTGAAAGAGCAAATGAGAGAGTCGTTTACTCCTTCCACGCTCTCTCGCATCAGCTACTCTTCCATCAGCATGATGGTAATTCTAGATGGGCTGACTTTTGCAGCGGCATCGATGTGGGCTCTTGAGGCAGGGATCACTTTCCTTGAGTCACTCTGCCTTTTGTTCGCTGCTTTCATGTCCATGTCAATCGGAGGCATTTTCCTTGCCGAGATCCACAAGGTACAAGAACCCCAAGACAGGCGGCGAACGGAGAGGGAGTCAGCGTCTAGCCGTAACAACGCGCCTGTCCCCGAATCAGCTCCGCCAAGGCGGGAAGAACAACAACAACAACAACAACAACAACAACAAGCTGCTCCCAGTTCTGAGCAGACGGACGCAGAAGCTGTGCCGAGGCGAGCCGAGTCGCCGCCCATCATCATACCCTCGGACCAGGACATCGACGCAGAGATAGCCCAAGTTACGGCCACGAACAATAACACGGGACGACGTGAGGCCACATCCACCCGCGGGTTCGTGATAGGCCGCCTCGCCACTACCATCTCTATTGTGCTATGCTTCTTCATCTTCTCCATGGCCTGGTCTTCTCGGATCCGCTCCCTGTTCACCAACATATTCGCACTGGTGTACCTCTCGTTTTGGCTACCCCAAATCCACCGCAACGTCATGCGTAATTGCCGCCGCGCACTGTCATGGCGCTTTATGATCGGCCAGTCGGTGCTGCGGCTCGCGCCGCTGGCCTACTTCTACCTCAGGGAGGATAACTTTCTCTTTGCCGAGCCGGACCGTCGCATGTTCCTCGTTTTCTGCGGTTGGCTCTGGGTGCAGCTCTGGGTCCTCGCTTTCCAAGACGTCCTAGGACCGCGGTTCGGGATCCCAAAGTCCTGGACTCCCGAGGCGTGGGACTACCACCCCATCCTTCGGGAGGACAACCTCGAGGACGGAAGCTTCCCTATCGGGCTCCTCTCGTCGTTGGAGCCCGTACATGCTGGATCGACGGGCGCGGATGGGGAGCGGGAGGATGATGGAGAAGATGGGGATGGGTACGGGGACGGGGACAAAGGCGTCGGGGGGCAACGGTCAAGCAAAGTCAAATATTTGGGGCCTGGCTCGGGCCGCGGTATGCGGAGCGCTCGAACGGAGTGCGCCATCTGTTTTGACGTCCTTGAGGTGCCAGTGGTACGGGCCGGTGAGGCGGACGCGGCAGCTGGAGGTGTTGCTGGCGTGTTGACGAGGCGGAACTACATGGTAACACCTTGCCGGCATGTGTTCCACAGTGCATGCCTTGAGAGTTGGCTGCGGTACCGTCTGAAGTGTCCGATATGCAGGGACGACCTGCCTCCACTATGAGAGAACTTGCCGGGCCTACTGTACTTTACGAACCTCCGCCCTGTACTATGGGCGGATTATTACCGACTGGGATGGATGTTCATTGCTTTCTTGATTGGGAAGAGAGCGTTTATGGTACGGGTCTTGGTGAGGATTCTTTGAGTTATATATCTTCAGTCCACGAATGACACTACGTGTGTCAGTCTTTCGTTGGGCGTATTTGTAGATGGCATGGGATTTAAGATAGGAAGTTATAATGGAGATGGAGCGACTCGGGCTTTATATTATAGTCTGGTAATATTAAGCGTCCGTCTGAGAAAACACGGGAACACGCAAGTGGAATCACGGGCGAAGAGGTTATACGAGGCATGCCTGGGATGATATAAAGTTAGTATGAGTTCCAAGTCGGCTTTTGATCGTGCAAAGCCTGTTGAATGGGTTGCCGCGTTCTGGAATCGAATCTTTGGCGGTCGTTACAAAGGAGTACCTTATTTACCTCCGCACTCCTTTAATAAGCCGGTTGTGCTGTTACCTAATAATAATGCGACGCTGACTTTCGTCCACAAGTGTTTCAGCTCAACCGGCATTGCTTCCTCGTCGAAACTCGGCACAAACCCCAACCGAGAGAACTTGTTCAAATCTCGAAATACGGTTACCCCAGAGTTTCTGGCAGGGCATAATACTCCGGTTAAATGACGCGCTGCCTACCTTAGTAGGTAGGTTTATGTCTCCCGATTAGTGTCCCCTTCATCCCTCGCCTCGACCCCCACAGCCTTCATGCTGCTCCCTTGGCCGACTCGGGTATCTTACCGCCTCGTTGACGCACAGGAAACCAAACGTTTCTTCCATCATGCGTCCTGACAAAGAGAGGGTCACGCAAGCAACCCACTCTTCCAAATGCCATGGACAACGACGCAAAGGCGAAAGGCGAAAGGCGAGATAGCTAAAGGTAGTCGTACGGAGTGCTACAGTGGAAAGGAAGTACGACCCCGTGTGCCACCTAAATACTCAAGTTTGTTTGTCCACTTCATCATTATATCCTTCTCGCCCGCAGCGTTGCAGTCTTCTGTCTGCTGCCGTGCCTCGTTCCCCTCCTTTCTGTTTCTCTCGCCATCTTATATTTCTGCTACCACTGCTCTCACGCCTCTTGCCATTGTTTCCACTTCCGTTTCCTTCTTCAACATGGTCCCCCCTGCTGTCTCCATCATCATCCCACCCAGTGAGTCAGTTCGTCATGCGCCTTGGCGGATCTTGCCTTTCCACGTCAGGCATCACACCAGTGCAGACAGCCTCTTGCTCAATCATCCAGTCTTTCCACGAGCTCCTCCAGGCGGAATCCTCCCTTTCTCCCCCATTTGGAAAGTGGTTGCCTTGGCTTATTATGGATCCTTCGCTGATCGATACACCCAATTGATTCATCCATCCATATATCCCGCCACCCCAGACCCTGCAACCCTACAATCCTGGAATTGTGGTACAGCCCCTGTCATTCTCCCCCAGGGTTCGTTCTGGTATCGATCGGATCGTTCCGGCCACCATTTCGAGCACTTGAGTCTTCTTCTCTCAAGGTACGAACACGCGATTGAAAAAAAGAAAGAAAAAATCGAGGAAAAGGCTCAATAACTCTCTGCTCGTTTTATCAGCCTTGCTCCCCCCTTTTCCTCCCTCGATCCTCTCAGTGGTTCATTATACCCTTCCACCGCAGAATTAATTACCCTTGACCTGGTCCGGTTCCTATTCCCTAACAGAACGAGACTCTGTTTAGCCTTGTCCTAAAAATAAAGTCACCGACAGGGTTCTGTGCCTGTCCACTTAGGTATTCGAGTACTTAAAGTCTCCGACGGCAGTTCACCTCTTGAAGAATCCTGCGCCGTTACGCCACGCCACGTTGGACGCGTGGTTTTAAATACGGTTTTCCATCTCCACTTCTGGATGCAGGACAGTTATCAGGCGATGCTCCCGAACGAGACTTTCCAAAGGCTTTGACCTCGGTCACCGCGAAGTCTCTCTCGGTTATTAAACATGTCGTCCGCAGACTCAATAAGAGGAGATCCAACCACAGGAGGACCTTCAAAGTCGCAAGATGCAGACAGTTCTCGGAAGACAAAACGAGCTAGGACAAGTAGGCCCAAGGTCAAGACGGGCTGTCATAACTGCAAGTATGTGGCACTGCGCAACCCCTCCACCCCCTTCTTTTCTTGGGGGGGTTTTTTTTTTCTTCTTCTTCTTTTTTTATGGTTGTTTGTGTCTCTGCGGCCTGTGATGATACAGGGCAAATATTTTGCTGTTGTTATTCTTTTTTAACCAATTGTCACTAGGCAACGCCGAATCAAATGTGATGAAAAACGTCCCGCCTGCACGCAGTGCATCCGCTCGAAGAAGGCCTGCACTGGGTATCCTCCCCCTCCCCGAAGCGCTAGATCTCATGAAGTCCTCGCCATCGCCCCGAAGCCTCTCTCTGCTCCCCCATCCAATGGGCCTCCTCCTCTCGCCCACCCACCACCCCGGAGGGCACGGAGGCAACCGGAGCGGCGAGATGCCATCACGCCGCAAGCGCCCGTTTCTTCTTTAGGTCCTGTGACGATGTATCGCCCCTCGGCCACTTTGCCTCTGTCGCCCCATGAAGGCCTGTACTTTGAACTGTTCCGGACACACACCGCTGGCGAGCTGTCCGGCTACTTCGACTCGGTCTTTTGGACGCGGACGGTGCTACAGGAATGCCACACAGAAGATGCTATCCGACACGCGGTTGTTGCCCTGGGGGCTCTGTATAAGACTTTAGAGCAGTCCTCCGAATCACCGCCCGGTTCCCCGACGAACCACGACCCCGTAGATAACGCCTGGCAGCATTGGGAGGTCGCCGTCCGCCAGTACTCGAAAGCCATCAACGCGCTGGTCCATTTGAATAGCGAGGATCAACGATCGCACAGGGTGCTTCTCATGGCGAGTGTGCTTCTTGGCTGCTTCGACTCGTTCATAGGCGACCACAAGCAAGGCATCCGACAGATCCAAAACGGCCTGGAGCTGCTCGAGAAGCTTCGCGCTGAGAGGAGGAAGTCACAACTCTCCGGGTCCGAGGAGCCCGTCGAAGAAGAACTCGTCATCATGTTCACACGGCTGGCGATCCAGGCCAAGTCTTACGACATGGCCTTTCACTTTCCCCAGCCATACGTCATCCGGCTCATACCCTCAGCATCCGAGCCACCACAATCGCCACCATCAGACGCGGGTGGTTCGCCGTCGTCGACGACCTCGAGCTCCCTCATGTCTCTCTTCTTCTTCCCCAGTCGCTTCACCACCCTGATGGAAGCTCGGCACTCCTGGGACAGGCTTCTCGAGGCGATAATGAGGTTCACGGAAACCATGTTCAACTACGCCCAAACCAACGGCAGCAACAGCCCCATGGGAATTCTTCCCAGGGAGCTGCAGGAATATGGGCTGAGCTTCAGGGGTCACATCGACGCATGGTGCGAAGCCTTCGAACCCATCCTGCAGTCCCGGAGGGCGCCCGACGTCACACACCAGGAAAAAGCCGGCATCGCGGTCCTCAAGATGTTCCAGATCATGACGCAGATTCTGTATCTGATGACTTTCAGCGCCAGCGAGTCGCAGTTCGACGTGTTCCAGCCGCAGTTCGAGACGATCGTGGGCCTGGCGCTCGAAGTGGTGGGGGACGAAGAGAGGAGGGCGGAGACCGAGAGGTGCCCCGACCCTTCGCGGTGTCGCCACCGGCGGCAAGATCAAGACCCAGTGCCGGATGTTTTCGGACGATACGACTACACCACGAGGACGCACCACATCAAGCCCAGCTTCAGCGCGGACCTGGGCATCGTGCCTCCGCTTTTCGTGGTGGCGACCAAGTGCAGAAACCCGGTCACCCGGCGGCAGGCGATCCAGCTGCTACGCAGCAGCGCGCGGAGGGAGGCCATGTGGGATAGTGAATTGACGGCACGGATCGGGGACTGGATCGCGACTATTGAGGAAGAAGGAGATGCCGGGGTCCCCACGGCGATGAACCCGTGGCATGGCGCCATGGACACCTCGAACGGAAACGGAAACGGAAACGGAAACGGAAATGGAAATGGGGTAGCAGGTGCGAGCTCGAGCTATGGTCCTCCCGCAACGGTCCCCGAGGAGAGGCGGGTTATGGTCAGAGCCGTTGACTTTGATCTCCGCGCGCGGTTTGCAAGATTGCAGGTCGGTACGAGGGGTATCACGCCGGGATCGCCGGACATGAGGTCTCGGATGACCCAGATTCGGTGGTAAGAATACGTTTGGGCTTTTCGCCGCTATCTTGCACCGCAGCTTGCTTCATTTCTTGGGTATATCCCGCTCTTTAATTACTGTTGGTTATCTACAGGTGCATTCGAGGCTTCATGTAGTGCTTCTTAGGGATCCCTCCACGACGGCATCTTCCTCACTTGCACGCATTTATGCGTTCGGCGTTTCATGAAGGAGAGGGGCGTTTCTGGATAGGGGCAAGAAGAAAACGGAAAATGTAACAGGGGGGTAGGAAGAAGACGAAAATGTCTTGTTCGAAGCCCACAAAAGAAAGAATCCAATAGATAATCATCGCCGAGTTTGCTAACTCTTATTTTTGATCATGCTGTGTGTTGCTTCAAGATCTTTCTATATCACCAAAGCATAGTTAAATACTTTCGCACTTTGTACGGAGGTAATGCTGGAAGTCGGGTTACACAGTGTAGCGATGACTTTTTTGGGTATATAAATGCACTGTATGCATTTCCTGGAATGGATTAGCTTAGAGGGGCTACGACTCTTGAGCTCTTCCACAACGACCCCTGTGACCTACCTATGTACCTATGCTGACCGCTTCTTCCAATTCTTCCAAGACCTGTACGTTGTACTTCCTATGGATGTAACTAACAATCAGTTGCACTACGGGTTATTGGTGCTCCGTACCTGACTAAGGTACATTAATTATGGTCTAGTACTTAAATGCATAGGGTCCGACACGTTATTATCATGGGCCGGGATGCGAGGACATCACGTATAGATATCGGGACATCCATATATGGGTGCATACAAAGTACCACACCTATTTTGTATATATCGACTAAGACGCTATATAATTACTGCGTGTGCGCCTCCTGCTACGAAGCAAAATCGCCTTGCGGTAGCGCGGTACCGCAGGGCGTAGCGTCGGGGGGATTTCGGCCATCGTAATAGCAGTTATTATTATTGTGGAAGAGTTATCGTGACTCTAATTTAGGGAAGGTTAATAAGGTAATTGGGTACCTAAGGTAGGTAGGTAGGTAAGGCAGCTAATATGACAACAGTAAGGTACATAGCGTCTTAATCGATACATACAAAATAGGCGTGGTACTTAGGCCGCCCGGGATATTTGTCATAGACCCATATATCGATGTCCCGATATCTATACCTGATGTCCCGAATCTTGGCCCATTATCATTGGGTTATTGTTCATGGACCCTTGAACCCCCTGACAGCTTCTTCATCAACACGTGCAATCTTGGAGTTTCTTGTCGATAATTATCCTAATTAGTACTAAATAGTACCCAGTTTAATGAAAATAATGTGAGAAGTGTCGAAAAAAAAGTTTCTTTACTCTGGGGCTTTTGTACTCCGTACTCCCGTGTTGTGTGTGTGTGTGTGTGTGTGTGTGTGTGTGTGTGTGTGTGTGATGAAGAGAGTCCAACCAACGTTTTTAAAGCTCAGGGCTCCATTCCCCGTCAAGAATCAATCCCAACCCATTTTAGTCGGTGAAGAAATCATCTCGGAAGGCAGGGCTCAGTAAGTTTTTTTTTCCCCCCGGCGCACACAGACCTATTTCCCCTTCTTTATTTGCAAAGTCCTTCTTCTCCTGTGGGGTTGAGAATTGTTCTCCTCGATCTCTTGGCGATAGATATACGGCTCTTTTCATATGGAGCTATATTGTAAGAAGCTTCATAACTGATCGGATTTTCTCAAGATTGATCCTACCTACCTTTACTCCTACAAGCTTCCAAACACGCCACCACATACATACGTTAATAGCTCAAAGGAGCTCATATATTTCAACATGACTACTCTCGAAAATAGTACCGTCACTTACGAGCAGCTCGCCGATATTGAGCGCGAGTTTGAGGAGGTCGAGACCGAAATTCGTACGTTTCCTTTCGTCAGTCGTCATTCATCATCCATCATTCATCATTCATGGTCTATCGTTCTTTCATATTTCATATTTGCTTCTCTTGTCGATGTGTGCTTTTTCGCAATTATTTTATCTTCGTTTCGTTTGTTTATCCCCCCAATTTCAAGGCCAATTGACCTCCAGCCCGCTCATGCGGACTCTTTGTATTGCGTCATTCACTACATATCACTGACATATCCCGTAAGTCCGCCAACAATATGAAATGTCACGCCCCCTCTATGAGAAGCGGCAGGCTCTCGTCTCCCAGATCCCCAACTTCTGGGCCCTGGTGATGGAGGCCGCGCCGCCCGAGATTGACGAGCATATCCAGCCTCTCGACTCGGCCGTGCTGCTGTCGTCTCTCATGTCCATCTCGGTGCGCCGGTTCGAGATCGAGGACGGCGGCAAGGGCGACCCGCGCAGCGTGGCCATCCGCTTCGAGTTCACCGAAAACGACTACTTCGAGGACAAGGTCCTGGAGAAGAAGTTCTGGTACCGCTACTCGGACGACTACACCGGCCTGGTCAGCGAGCCCGTGGCGATTCAGTGGAAGGAGGGTAAGGACCTCACCGACGGCCTGCTGACCGCGGTCAAGAAGGTGTGGGACGAAGGGGAGGGCCCCCAGCAGAAGAAGGTCGGCAAGGGCAAGAAGGAGAGGAAGCCCCTGACGGCCGCGCAGCAGGCGCTCAAGGAGAAGATGGAGTCGATGAGCCTCGGCGGCGTCTCCTTCTTCGCCTGGTTCGGTTTCGTCGGCGCGCGCATCTCCGCGGAGGAGAGCAAGGCCAATCTGGAGAAGGAGAGGGAGCACGCCAGGCTGCGGTCGGAGGGCAAGGAGGTGCCCAAGGACGAGGAGGAGGAGGAGGAGGAGGAGGAGGAGGAGGGGGAGGATGATGAGTTCGATGACGACGATGACCTTGAGATCTTCCCCGAGGGAGATGACCTTGCGCAAGCTATTGTTCTGGACCTTTGGCCTGATGCGCTTAGGTATTTCAGTACGTTGTTTATCGCGTCCCCTTCTCCCTCCTCTCCCGCTTCGTCTTAGGCTCTCTCCTGGCGGTGCATTATGAAATGATGGGGGCTAACGTCGGGTGTCTTTTCCCCTCCTCTGTAGCGCAAGCACAGGAGCAGGAGCAGATGGCTAGTGATATGGAGATTGAGTCTGATGAGGATGAGGATGATGACGAGAGGCCGTCTAAGAAGCAGAGGGCCTAAGATGAGGGCGAGATGGAAAGAAACAAAAATGATCAACCATAAAATTAGGCGTGAATGCGAGAGCAAGCGAGGATTGACGAGAGAGGCACTGGAGCAGACAGGCATTTTTTTCTCCCCTGGTCGTCTCGCCGGGGTTTCCCCCTCTCTAGTCCCTTCTTCTATGTTTGCATGCAGTATGAAAAAGCACCACATATAGATTTCTTATGAACACGTTCATTTTATTTGGCTGTGTTCCGTCTTCGGAAACCCCATCGCCCAAGACCACCTACAGAGTACTGTATCGGCCCAGCACTGTAAGTACTGTCGATCCACACTCAGTCCGATTGACCGTATACCGACCAAGTCATCGGAGGACCGAAAGCGGAGACAGGTTCGGGATCCGGAGGTCCGCACACTCCACGAGGAATAACGGCCGTGGTCCTCTCCATACACCGTACCCAGAGGAAAAACGCCCAATGATTTTACTCGAAGTGACTCGCTTGTTGGGGAACATAAGCATAGGTACATTCATTATGAAGTGCTCGTTGTCCTGGATGCACCAAGCTTATCCAAGCCCAGTCAAGTCCCATTTTACGAGTCCGTGTTTCTCGGGCTGGTGATTCGCCGTTTTTCGGATGATGTCATCACTTTGTCTACTTTGCGCGCCCTGTACACTAAGAGGGAATCCGAAATCGGGGGTGAACTCCAGGGCAACCCATGACATCGACGCCTCGGAAGGGTCAGTCAAGTAATCATTACTTGTATAAGGTGAGGTAAGGTACACGTACACGTGCTGACTGAAGGCCGGCCTGGGCTTGGTATGCCGTACCTCCGCCGTATTACCTTTTACCATATGCGCTCTAGAAACAACTAACGCGACTTGTCCCAGGTAACGTCGTGGTACTCCGTTGCAAGGTAACTGTCACCTCATGCTTCAGATGCATTTGTAATCGTCTGCATTGTGTGTCGGCCTAACCCTTGCCCCGTGGACATTTCCTCCGTAGTATCTCCAGGTCAATGATCGAGTAAGACAAACTCTTCGATCGACCGGATATCCTCGCAACTACCGACCTACATTCACTCGAGGAATTAATTGGGTATGAGGCCTCTCTCATCTTCTATAAGAGGACGAATATTCCTACGCCCCAGCCTGAATGTCCTGTCTTTGGTCTCGCCACGGCAAGTCATATCAGCTTCCACAGCTTCGACATCTTCATCTGCACCGACATCCACAATGGCGACGCCGTACAAGATTCACGTCCCGGTCAACGATACCGGCCTCTTGAAGTTCGCACAGAGTGAAACCACTGCCAACACTACATCAGAACTGCTCCAGAAGGACCTCGAAGTGCGCGATTTATGTTATGTCTCATGTCATCAGTCAAACTCACGTATCTCCAGACTCACCACGTATTTTTCAACGCTATGGGATATCACAACCATGTAAATCATACAACTAGCCCCCTGTTCGCCTCTCATGTCTCCCCACTTGCTCCCGCGCCTCCTTCCTGCAAGGCAATGCTGACCTACAACTTCTCCCCTCACCCGATTGAAGATCGTCCATCATCTTCTATCCCTCTACGGCACAGGGGCAGACGCTTCAGCCATCCGCAAAGCCTTCGCCGATAACGACACCTACCAACTGCCCGTTCAGCCAACCCACCCGGCCGTAGCCGACGAACTCGCCGCCGACTGGGCCACAGCAGCTCCGAAGTACCTAGGGCAAGGGAAACACTACCCGGACTTCCTCCTCTTCTTTCAGCGCGAAATCGACCGCCGAGGTGGCGACTTCACCGCCGGGGTATCGGAGTTCCTGTTCCGCGGCGACGCCCGCGCCGACGACCTCCTCCAGCGCGTACACGCCGGCTTCCTCCACCCTCTCATCCAGCTGATGTACGGCCTCGAGTGGCGCCAGCCAGCCATCATTGCGGAGGGTCTCGCCCAGGCGGCCGTCCACCAGAACAAGTTGGGACCTTTCCTGGAGCGGACTGAGCGCGAGGCCCGCGCGGAAGCTATGCCTCCCTTGGCGGAGCTCTACCGGGGAATCCGCGCCGACGAGAGGCTGAGAGCTGCAGTTCGCGCGGATGACCAGGATAAGATCTTCGACGGTATCCTTTCCCGAGCGCCTGATGCCATGCTGGAGTTTACGTCGCATGTTAGGGTCGCCCCGGAGGAGGTCGAGGAGCGTATCGCTGAGATGTTTGAGACGGCGATTTGGGCTGCTGGCGGTGCGGCGTTGCGACCTGGAAAAGTACCCAAGTGGGATTTCTTCCTTATGTGAGTCCATTGTTTCTTTGCTTCCCTTCTTCTTCTAACGTGCCTATTAAACAAAGTCACCACATCAACTCGGTTCCCTTTCACGTCACCGTCAACGACCAGCCCTGGATCCCCGCCGAGACGAAAGCGCGCCTCCTCGAATGGAAGATCCGTTTGGACCTAGCCCAGTACGCAGCCCGCGGCTCCCCCCCTAACCGCTTCGACGACGTCAAGACGTACCGCCCCAAGGACCTCGACGAGGGGAAGCAGCTCGTTTCTCATCCCAACGGTAGGTAGACAACCTCACGGGAATGTCCCCTTTTCTCCTTCCGTGCCACCGGAATCCCCCGGGGCCCTCGGCTCTAGCAAGTCTGGATTGTATGTTGCCATAACCTGATAACACCTATCGCTAGACCTGCTCCCCCGCTTCCATGCTACCAAGGAAGACGGACACGCCATCAAGCTCGTGCGCGCCTTGGGCATCTGCAAGGAGCTTTTGGACACCAAGTTCAAGGATAAACAGTGGCGCAAGATCACAGAAGACGACCTCTGGCTGAAGTTGCATTATATGGTTCTTGACGGCACAGAATATCCGCAGGATGGGTTGGCCATGTGGGTTCGGGGTGCCGGGTTCGATGAGATGTGGAGGGTATTTTCTTTCCCCTTTCATTGTCTTCTCTTTTTCACTTCTGCTTCCTCCGGCCTTTACACTTCTGAGAAGGACTGTTTACTGACAGCTTAAAAGGACGTTCCCGACCGCAAATGAACGAAATATCCCTGTTCGGATGCTGCAACCACGCAATAATCCGTCCTTGAGATTCCATTCCATGTTCCTAGTTGCCCAGTGTGATACAATATCAAATCGGGTATATCAAATAGCCCGTGTGCGGCGGGCTGGTCTACGCATCTAACCCAACCCAACTTCCCGCGTCCGAATCATCCTCTTTCCCATCAGTAATCACATCATCCTCTGTCGTAGTAGGGAGAATAGTTTGCTGTTGCTTCGCCGCGTCGTTCGACCCCCAGTCGAGAGCCAAGTTCCCGTTGGTCTCTGGGCCCTTCGACTGAGCAAGGAGGTAGTCGACCATGTAGATGTTGTCGTCGGCCAGCCTCCTAATCTCGTCTCGGATCCGTGTAATCGCCCGCGACACCACTCTCAATTCCACATCCGCCTTGCCCCTGTTCTGCATGAGCCAAGCTCCGTGATTGTCCAGGAGCGCCTTGACCCACAACAAGCAGAACTCCATGTGCGGCGTCTCCTCCGTCTGGGCCGCCACGAAGCGGACGAGCCGCGGGACGTAGACAACCGGCAGGTCTTGCACCACCAGAGCGATGTCCGGGTACGGCACGGCTAGGAAAACCCTCTTGAGCAGGCTCGCTTCGTTGAGCCGGAACGCCATGACGAGAGCCTTGAGGTAGTCCTTCTGGTCGAGGACCGCCAGTGTCGATGCCGGCGTGATTTCCATGTTCAGGTCGAACGGGTCAAACTGCTGCACGTTGTCTACGCTGTAGACGAGGAGGCCTTCTGTTGACGCCGCGCAAAAGGCGCTCCCGGCCGGAGAGAAGGCGATCCCCGTGACCCGAACCTCCGGTATCCTTTTCCTGGCCGACGGATCGCCGCCCCGTTTAGAACCGGGGAGCGATTTGTCCTTTCGGTTCTCCCTATCCGATTCCTCCCCCTGATCGTCGATCATGTCCTCTGGGCCAGCTTCTGTGAGCAGCTTGCTGTTCAAAAACTCTTGTGTCCCAGCCAGTGATAGGTTGACACTGACCGTGAACTTCTTGAGGAGGACCATGGTGTGGACCGAGTACAGGCAGATGTACTTGCTGTTTCCTGCGGCAAGGAGACACGACCCATCCGTGCTGTACCGTACCGTATTGAAGCTCTTGGTGCCTGCCACGTTCGCTGCGGTGCGGCGGTCGGTGGCTTTGCGACCGCCCGACACGTCCCGCCGGCCATCAAGCCCGGATACTTGTTCGGCCTCCGTGATGTTCCAGAACGTTAACTGACCGTCTAAGGTCGAGACGGCCAGTTGCAAGGAATCCGGCCGCACGGCGATGTCGAGGATATCGGCTTGGAGCTGCAGGGGCTCGCTAGTTTGCGTCCTGTTGAAGATCGACCAGATTCGTGCCGTCCGATCCCAGCTACCACTGATGAGCGAGTCGCCGTTGGGAGTGAAAGCCAGAGCCGACACCGGCCCTTCGTGGCCGGACAGTCGGTCGAGGAGCTGGCCCGTCTGGACGGACCAGATGTGAATGTCAAAGGAGTCCAGAGAGCCCGCTGCCACCACCTCGCCACTGGGATCCACCGCCATGCATGAGAAGGACAGCCTCGTTGGTGCCGTGAACGTGCGGAAGTTTCTGTACCGGATGAGGTCCCAAGCCCTCACGGACCCGTCCAGACTGGAAGTGAAGAGGACATTCCCCCTTTTAGCAAACTCACAGGCCGTGACGCCGCTCGTGTGTTCGGTGAATGTGACAATGCAGAATCCTGACTCGACGTCCCAGACCTTGATCCTTCCGTCGTCCGCCACAGTGACTATCCTCTGGCCGTCAGGCGAGTAGACGAGCGAATTCATCGAGTCGAAATGGCCTTGTTGCTTCAGAATGTAGGACTCGGATTGCCATTCCCATACCAGAAGCTGGCCCAACTTGGATGCACCAAATGCCAGCCACTCGCCACTCCTGTTGATCGTCACGAAATCAATCTCGTTTTGCGAGATGTTGAGCGTGTGAATCATGTTGAACTCTGGCAGCTCGTACAGGCCGAAGATGCCGTTGGAGAAACCGGCCACGAGTAGATTCGAGTCGGGATGAAACGCTGCACACTTGAGGGAGGCATTGTTTTGGTGGAAGTAGTGCCGGTTGACGATTCTCCACCGCATGTCGGCCTCGTCGGCGTCCACCATCTCGTCCTCATGGCCCACCTTGGCCACATATTGCCAGTCGAACACCGCGCCGTCTTTGCTGACGGTATATATGGTCTCCTGGTCCGCAGAGAACCAAGCACCCACCACGGCTTGCTTGTGGCCGGAGAGCACGGTAGGCACGAAACCTTCCTCCGCATCGAGGCTCCATACCCTCGCTGTCAGATCTTTCGACGTACTAAGAAAGAACCGAGAATCGCTGGACCATTCTATGTGTCGTACATCGTCAAAATGCTGAGTGTGGGTGTGGTGTTTGACAAATGGAGCAAAGTCGAGCACCCCTTCCGGGTTCGTATCTGGTGTTGAAGGGACATGCCATACTTCGATCTTGCGGCCGATTCCAACCGCGAAGTGTCGTCCGGATGGCGAGAACGAAAGAGCAGTGACTTTTCCGCGGAAGGCGAAGTGATAGACGGGTATCCTTCTAAGGACGTTGGTCAAAATGGCATGACCATCTTCGTCTACAGATAGGAGAAGGTTGCCTCGCGGAGTGAGACCGAGTCGCGCGATGTTCTTTCGATGAGCGAAGGGTAGAGTGTGTGACTTGTTACTGTAATATCCAAGTCAATTAGGACTGTATTCCTCTCAGACCAAAACCAGGAAAAAGGAAAAGCCGTCGCGTACTTGACAAGGTCGAATACAGTTACTCTGTTGCCAACTGGCGAGAAGAGATGGGTGCCATCGGGGTTGAATAGTAGGTTGCCCTGGCAGTAGACTGTGCCCAGCAAGTTTGAGAACTGAAACAAAAAGAAAGTTAGTCAATTGAGCTGATTTTGGGGGGATCATGACCTAATGCGTACCTTGAAATCTGTCTTCATGATCACCGGCCCACCATTTCCTCAACTCATCGAACATCAAAGGCTTGGAGCTGCTTTTGCAAATCGAATGGGCGTCGCATTCTCTTTCCCTTTCTTCGTCGGATCTCGTCGCAGAAATTCCTTATCGATATGAAAATTTGGCGGGGTCGGAGAATGGTTCTTCCAGGTCTTCAGATCCCGCCTTGTGACACCCTGCGTTGGTCCATCCAAAGCCCCAGTGCCGCATTCACATGATAAGATACGAAGTACCTACGGAGTAATATTTACCTTACAAATACCTTACGTACTGTAGGTACCCGTACCTTAGGTAGCAACAGGACACAGGACGGCACTAAACTAGAGTTAGGTACTTTCAAAGCTGTCTTAGTCTTTCGTAAAGCACGGACCATTAGATGACTAAATTTTCGCTTGTCGCCCAGGGAGCCATAGGAAATTGGGACGGGGGAGCTTCTCCTGATTGATGGCCCCCCTGAAGCATTGGGACAGGCACCGTTCTTCCACCCCAAATCCCCCAAACCCGCTCCATGCCCGTTCCCAACTAACTTTTGACCGCTCCTCGGCCACGTCTACCGCGTGCCATCAACTCGCTCCGCTCTCAGTCTCCGCTCCCGCCCATTGAACTGCCCTCCTTTTAACTTGAATCTCAACCGTTATACCTCGTCTTCTCGGAAGACTTGTTCATAATGGCTCCTACCGCTGAGAGCGCCTCGCCCATTGGCATCGCCAACCTCCCTAACCAGCGGCATAAGATTGTCGCCAAGCGGGGTGCTGGCTTTACCATAATGGTGAGCGCCTTCCCCCTTTTCTTCTTCTTTTTTCTTTTTCTTTTTGGCTTTCCTTACGCCTTCGTGTTCACGGCAGGAAGGAGATTGATGAGCTAACAGTACGCGTCTAGGTTGCTGGCGAATCTGGCCTGGGCAAGACCACTTTCATCAACACCCTTTTCTCGACAACCATCAAGAACTATGCCGACCACAAGAAGCGACACCAGAAGCAGGTCGACAAGACTGTCGAGATCGAGATTACCAAGGCCGAGTTGGAGGAGAAATTCTTCAAGGGTATGCGACTTCTTTTCGCGTTCCCAATGACCGATGCTTTGTTTGGTAGGTAGGCTGACAGAATATGGGTCTGTAGTTCGTCTGACCGTCATCGACACCCCCGGATTCGGCGACTATGTCAACAACCGCGACTCTTGGATGCCCATCATCGAGTTCCTTGACGACCAGCACGAGTCCTACATGCTTCAGGAGCAACAGCCCCGTCGCCAGGACAAGATCGACCTGCGCGTCCACGCCTGCCTGTACTTCATTCGGCCTACCGGCCACACCCTGAAGCCCCTGGATATTGAGGTGATGAAGAGACTCTGTTCGAGAGTGAATCTTATTCCCGTCATCGCCAAGGCCGATACTTTGAGCCCTGCAGACCTGGCCAGGTTCAAGCAAAGAGTACGTATTATTCTTTAAAAATAGAATCGTGTTCCTTCTTTCATTTGTTCGAGGACTAACATGGTATCTCAACCCAGATCCGAGTCGTCATCGAGGCCCAGAATATTAAGATCTACCAGCCACCAATTGAGGAGGACGACGAGGCTGCCGCCCAGCACGCGCGGAGCCTCATGGCCGCCATGCCATTCGCCGTCATTGGCTCCGAGAAAGACGTCAAGACCAGCGATGGCCGCATTGTCAAAGGTCGTCAATATTCGTGGGGTGTCGCCGAGGTGGAGAACGAGGATCACTGCGATTTCAAGAAGCTCCGCTCCATTCTCATCCGTACCCACATGCTCGATCTCATCCACACCACCGAAGAGCTGCACTACGAGGCCTACCGCGCCCAACAGATGGAGACACGCAAATTCGGTGAGGCGCGTCCCCGCAAGCTCGACAATCCCAAGTTCAAGGAGGAGGAGGAGGCACTGCGGAAGCGCTTCACCGAGCAGGTCAAGATCGAGGAGCAGCGCTTCCGCCAGTGGGAACAGAAGCTCATCGCCGAGCGCGATCGCCTCAACAAGGATCTCGAGCAGACCCACGCCCAAATCAAGCAGCTGGAGAACGAGCTCGAGGCGATGCAGGGAACCGGCGCCGTCCGCAGCCACGGCCGTCGCTAAATGCTCTCTAATGTCTGGGCTTTTCAGGGGCTTACATCGTTTGTATTTTTCGGCCCATAATTCCATCTCAGCCCGCTGGGGTCCCTCTTCATGTCTCTCGCATTTGAGTGTAAGGCCTGGAGCTGATGTTTTTCTTTTCTGGGCGCACTCGCGAATATGCTCGCTGGCTCACGGGTTTCCACGAGAAACCTGCGGCGTGCGATGGTTAGTGAGATGGGCTTCCCTGGGGTCTGCTGATCGTGGGGCGATATGTCCGGGGTATTCTCACAAAAAGTTGCATCTCTTCTGAGCCAGAGGCGCCGAGGTCTCGCATTTTAATTGCTTATTTTCTCTGTTTTCATCCTTCTTCTTTCAAGATGCGGCCAGTACCCCCTTGCTCTCAACCTGCCTAGTCACAACCTCATAGTTTTAAGGTACGATGTAATAGCAACTTCATGATACCAAGAATAAGAAGTAGGGCGACCCCCTGTCACATGGATTGCAGGGCCTAATTATATCCCAGTTCGAGGTGACATGCGATGACGCTACGTAAAGTGCAGAAACGAGTCCCAATCCGCCAACACCCGCAGAAAAATACATACAGAAGCAATACGGGATGCAAAGGAAACCCGGCTGTCCTTGTTAGGATGATAGGTTATACAGAATCCACGCTGGCACGGGTCGCCAACTGCTCGTTTTTGTTGCCAAGCTTGGAGATCTGGAGGAATGCATCTACGCCGTAGCCCCACAGACTGTGCAGCTCGAGAGTCCCCGCCCAATATTCGGCGTAGACCTTGCTTAGGGGCAAGCCGATGCCCAGCCTCAGATCAGGAGGCCGACTTGTCAGGGTGGCGAGGGAATTAGTGTATGTCGGCGTCTTGAGGTCGGCGCGGCCGAGCTCGTCGGAGACGTGCAGCTCCTGCATGGTGGCAGCGAGGGTGGGGACGCGACGCAGATTCTCGAGGCGTCGACGGCTTTGCGGGCCGCCGGTGAAGGACCAGAGGTAAGGGAGTTCGTCGGTCGGAATCCCGCCGCCCTGGTCGCTGATGCGGATAATGACCTGCGTCGGCGCTTCGCATATCGTGACCTCGATGGGCGGTGGCGGGACGGAGGGGACGCTGGGACCCTCAGCGGCCTGACGCTGCTGCCGCTCGATGACGGCCTGGACAGAGTTGCGGAGGAGTTCCCCGATGATGTATTCGAAGTGGCTGAGTATATAGGGAAAGCTGGCGTCCAGGTGGCCGTTAACATTGATGTCGGGAATATAGACGTCCGGGCCGTAGGTGGAGCGGGCGAGTTTCTGAACGGCGCTGGCGCAGCGGTCGATGACGTCCTTGGCGACGCACTTGATGAAGACTTCTCCAATGAACTCGGTCTCGGACAACGTGGCACCGTGTGAGAACCAGTCCGAGTGGAACGTTTCGGTGAGGGCAAGATGCTGCTCAGCGATTACGCGACGGGATATCCTCTGTTGCGAGTGACGGGTCAGTTGCCGTTTTCTTTCTTCTGTTCTTCTTCTTTACAATAAGATGTTATGAGACATACCGCTCTAAGGATGGTATACATGAACCCGTCGAGAACGCGGCGGTCAACCTGGTCTCTGCTTTTGATAATCCCCGTGGCAAGCTTGGGGATCACGGGAAGATGAGTCTTGAGCATCGTGCGGATGATGGAGCAGAACTGGTCATTGTCCTCGAGGGTTTGGATCTCCTTGACCTTGCGAAACGTGTGAAAGGCATCATTGTACAGGTTATAGACATCGTTGATATCAGGATTCGAGGCGACGCCATAAGGGAGCTGCTGCATATCTCGTATACGGTGTGCAATCCTTTGAAGTGGCAGTGTTAGTCGGAGAATGGAAAAACGGAGGCTGGGCACCGCGAGGAGGATGGTATGAGGAGAGGAGGGTACGCACCTGGTTGGCAGCTCTGTGCGTACGTAGTTGGCAGACTTCAAGAGTCGTGCTTCCGTGAGAGTCCGACCATAGACCATGAGCTGGCGCAAGCTTATGGGACGGGCCTCTTTCGCAACCCATCTGCATCGGGTTATTTAACATGTGACTTGCTGTACAGGGCATAGGGACACGGTGACGTACTCGTCCAGGACCGAAGGCGCCCTCGGTGGGGTGTTTATATGCCTTCGCTGCGATTTCAGGTCGACTGGCTTAGAGCTCAAGCGGGGCAACCAGAGCCGGGCCGTGGGAGAGGCGGTCCACGATTTGAGGCTACCCAATCTGCATCGCCTACCGGCCGTGGGCAATGCGATGGAGAGCATGATGCTGCCATCAGCGACAAAGGGGCAGTCAATTTGTAACCATAAAGTTCGATGATGGCAGATATGTCTTTGTGGGGCACGTAGGGTCGCTACCGCAAGTCTTCGAGAGTCAATATTTCGGTGGCAGAAGGTACATGAAGCTCGATCATTGTCATTTGAAACTGTCGATTTTTACTCGATTCCTCCCATCCAGTCCTCAGTTATCAACGTCTCCGGTGCCGGTAGGTAATTATCAGGTAACCTCCAAAGGTGGGGTCTGAAAGATATCAGGCGTTTTATTGGTGGATCGATTGTAGGTATGTACGGGCTTACTAATTACCCCACAAACCCCTAAGGTAAGTAAGTACCTTAGGTACCACAGTTTCCCATGACAGAATTGTGTCACTGGCTGAAGTGGCATGACAACTTGACAACCCGTATTCATCTGACCTCGAGTTCTACATGTTTTGTTTTGCAAAGCTCGTTATCACAGACCCAGTTAGCTGAACCGTGAGTCACAAGATCTTTGAGTATGTCGTTTGCTCCTGTCTTAATCCTTATCCATCACAGGGTGGTTAATCTTGAAGTATGCTGGTAATTACTCATTTGCCAAACATCCAAACATTTCCTAGTACCTAACCGGCTCCCCACCAAAAGCGACGAGTTGCTACCTTACCTTACTTATGAGGTACCAAAATTACTTTGCCTCTTCTGTTCTTTTTCAACGGTTCAATATCCGCTGAATAACTCGGTATTCCTGACCGTCCTCGCGTAATAAGTTTCGTAGAGTATATTTGTCCTTATCTAACACTTTCATGGCCGCATCGTCTCTCGAAATGGTAGTGCTATCTATACTTGACTACGAATATCAAACTACCTACTTTTTCCTAAGGTAGATGATATGTGCTAAACATCGGAAGGGACAAGGGACAGGCTTTGTACCGAAGTACCGATTCCACAAATCCATTCACCGACCAGGCCTGTGATCCGTGAAGCGGTACGTACTCTCCGCTTAACTTACGTTGACCTCATCTTGCCCCCCTCTCCTTGGAAGTTTCCGAGCCAATATTTCTTGTTCACCCTGCCAACAATCTTCATGATACCAATACTAAACTTGTCCTGTCAATTTGCTCACTGGGAATAGGGAATTTCCCTTCACACGCCCTGACTCTTGTCTCGTGACGTGCCCTCTCATCCTCTGACATTTCCCCCCACCGGCTGCCGGGTCACTGGTTCCTGCGCATCAGTCGCCTTTCTTCAAGACCGTTGGTGGCTTCCTACTTGACGCAGTTATTCGGCCTTGCTTGCCGGACTGTCTTGGCCATGGTAAGCTGCCTGTCCGAAACTCTATCACTTTTCATCATATTGCACATACTATTTCTTCTTCACGTTTTCCCTCCTTCCAGTAGAACATACATAACCCGTCGCTGCCTACCCACCGAGCATTTTCATGGGTTTGGAACTGACCCGTTCACGTCTGCGCCTAGAGCTTCAATCAACACGACGTCCAGTCTCCCAACGAGATGATGGTGGACGCAGACGAATACGTCAGCGTTACCGACGAATCCGAGAAGGAATCTATTGCCATTATCAGCCCAGACACTCTCGATAGCGAGGCCGACCAGTTGCAGGATCTACCACTGGCCACTGACCGTATGTGTCTCTTCCGGTTGCCCTACATGCTCTCGTCCCTGATAGCGACTGACGCGAAGGATAAATAGATGATGCGATGAGAGAGCTCATTCTACCCCCACTCGCCGAAGAGCCAAAGGTCCTTGAAGATGTCGTCAATACTTGGTCTATCCAATCTTGGCGAAGCTTGAACAAACGAGAACAGGGCCCTGTCTTCCAAGCTGGTAGCTATCCATGGTACGATGCTCCATCGACACTCTGCGCTGTCACCGGATCATATTGACTCGGCATCTTAGGCGCGTTTTACTGTTTCCCTACGGAAACAATGTCGACCAATGTTCCATCTACCTCGAACATGGCTTTGAAAAGCCCGCGGACATCCCGGAGAACTGGAGTTGCTGCGTTCAGTTTGCGCTAGTGCTCTCTAATCCGAACGACCCGCGACTCTATATCCACCATGTTGCGCACCATCGGTTTACGAAGGAGGAGGCTGATTGGGGGTTCACGCGGTTCTACGAGCTGCGGAAGATGTTCAATGTGCCCTTCGAAGGCGCCACTCGGCCTCTCTGCGAAAATGATATGGCCACTATCACGGCCTACGTCCGAGTTGTAGAAGACGAGACGGGTGTCTTGTGGCACAACTTCACCAACTATGACTCCAAGAAGGAAACGGGCTACGTCGGTCTGAAGAACCAGGGCGCGACATGCTACCTGAACTCTCTTCTGCAATCACTGTACTTCACGAACGCCTTCAGAAAAGTCGGTACCTGTCTTTCTTTTTCTTCTCTTTTTCCCCTCTTATCTTTATTCATTCTTTTAACCTCCACTTCAACCAAACATGCGCCTTGGGGCTCTGACCTAGCTGCTGACGACCCTGGATAACAGGCCATCTACGGAATTCCCACTGAACATGAGGATAGCTTAAGCAACAGTGCATACACGCTTCAGCGCCTCTTCTACCAGCTGCAAACTTCCGATGCCGCAGTCGGGACAAATGAACTCACCAAGTCTTTCGGCTGGGAGACGCGACATATCTTTGAACAACAAGACGTGCAGGAGCTGTCGAGAAAACTCATGGAGCGGATGGAAGAGAAAATGAAGGGCACACCTGCTGAGAGGGTTCTCCCCGAGATGTTCAGCGGCAAGATCAAGACATATATTTCGTGCGTCAACGTCGATTACGAATCCAGCCGCATCGAGGACTTCTGGGACATTCAACTCAACGTCAGCGGCAACAAGAATCTCCTGGAAAGTTTCGAAGATTATATTCAGGTTGAGAAGATGGAGGGGGAAAATCAGTACTATGCAGGGGACGAACACAAATTGCAAGACGCCAACAAGGGCGTCATCTTTACCAGCTTCCCGGACGTTTTGCATCTGCAACTGAAGCGGTTCGAGTACGACATCCAGCGCGACATGATGATGAAGATCAACGATCGCTACGAATTCCCCGAGGTTTTTGATGCCGCGCCGTATCTTTCAGAGGATGCCGACAGATCAGTATCTTGGACGTATCAGTTGCACGGCGTTCTTGTCCACAGTGGTGATTTGAACGCGGGTCATTACTATGCCTTCCTCAAGCCGAACAAGGATGGCTGGTTCTATCGCTACGATGATGACAAGGTCACCAGGGCGACGATGCGGGAGGTTCTGGAGGAGAACTTCGGGGGCGAGTTCAGGACAGCTAATGGCGCATACCTACGAGCTCCGCTCCAGAAGAAGGCTCCCGCCATGCGCCAGAATAGCGCCTACATGCTGGTGTATATTCGGCAGTCCCGCCTAGACAAGATCCTATGTCCCGTTACTGAAGACGACATCCCGAGGCACCTGAGAAGCAAGGTCGAGGAGGAGTCCGCTTTGCGGGAAGCTCGGAGGAAAGAGCGTGAGGAGCAGCATCTCTATATCGGCGTCAAGGTCATCACGGAGGAGACCTTCAGACATCACGGAGGAACCGACTTGGCCGTTTTCGACGCTGGTCCGCAGTCCGAAGATGCAGCCGCCCCTCGTTTCTACCGAGTACTCCGCAGTATGTCCATGGAACAACTGGTGGAAATCGTTGCGAAGGACCTGAACCAAGCACCCCAGAACGTCCGCTTCTGGGTCATGGTCAACCGGCAGAACAAGACCGTTCGACCAGACCAGCCCATCATGGATCTGTCCCCGACGGTAGAAGAGACTTTCCAGAGAGCTTCGGCACATAGGGATCAGATTCTTCGCCTCTGGGCCGAAGTCGCAGAGGAAACCACTGCCGAGGGCAATGCCATCTGGCCTACCCACGAGCCGCACGACAACGGAATCGTTGTGAAGAATGACCTAATTCTGGTGTTCCTCAAGCATTTTGACGTCGAGGCCCAGACCCTCCGTGGCGTAAGCCATGTCTATATCAGCAGAGAAAAGAAAGTTGAAGAGCTTGTCCCTTTGATCATGAAAAAAATGGGTTGGGGGGACAAGCTCCCAGCCGAGGACAAGATTTTCCTCTTCGAGGTGAGTGGATCGCGGGAGATGTTTAGTTAGCATTGGTTGTGTTGACCCTCTGACTTTTTTTCCTTTCTCTTCTCGCAATAGGAAATCAAGCCGAGCATGATTGAGGTTTTGAAACCCAAGCAGACACTGAAAGGGGCCGAACTGCAGGATGGCGACATCATTTGCTTCCAGCGTAGCGTTGATCGCAAGACAGATCGGAACTACCTTGAGAAGCGTCTTGGCCTGAATGAGAAGCAGTCAACAGAGGACCTGTAGGTGACACATTCGACCGGCGTAAGGAGTTAGCTAACCAACCCCGATAGGACGAAAAAGAGCGACCGCTGCGAGGATGCGCGTGACTACTACGACTTCCTCCACAACAAGAAGACGGTCAAGTTCCACCCGCACCCGACACGGACGAACAATGAGAAGTTCCCTCCTTTTGAGCTTGATCTCAACTCAAAGATTACCTACGACGTGCTAGCAGAGCGGGTGGCTGAGTATATCGGCTGGCAGCCAACACATCTTCGGTTCTGGACTGTAAACGCCTCAACTGGTAACCCCAGAACCCCTGTTAAGCGCGGACCGAACCAGACCCTACAGTCGATCTTAAATCCGACCGGGTTCAACCACTTGAGCACTACCCAGCGATCAGACGCCTTCTATTTCGAGGTTCTAGAAATGAGCCTTGCCGAGCTAGACACGAAGAAGAGCGTCAAGATTAGCTGGCTGAGCGAGGGCATCACGAAAGAGGTAAGGGATAGATGTGCTGGGATTGATGATCGGATAGCTAATACAGTACCGCAGGAGCCGTATGATATTCTTGTTCCTAAGAATGGCAACATCGAGGACCTCATCCAAGCGCTCGTCAACAAGGCCGAGATTCCTGACGAGGCCGAGGATGGCCGCATTCGTGTTTATGAATCCAGCCAGAATAAGTTCTACCGTGAACTGTCGCGCGAGTACCCGGTCATTAGCCTGAACGAGTACACGGGTCTATTCGCAGAGCGGGTGCCGGAAGAAGAGTTGAAAGCCGACGAGGGCCATTTTATTCCGGTGTTCCATTTCCAGAACGAACCTCAACGTACTCACGGCATCCCGTTTAAATTTTTGCTGATAGAGGTATGTCGAAGGATGGGGACGTTGCCGGAACTGGCCCGGCCCCTTCGCCTTTCGAATGAGAGATGTGCCATGCTAACGTTCGACCAGGGTGAGAAGTTCTCAGACACGAAGAAACGCCTCGAGAAACGAACGGGCCTCAAGGGGAAGAGCTTCGAGAAGATAAAGATCGCAGTAGTTAGGAGATCTCAATTCTCGAAGGCCCAGTACCTGAACGATGGTATGACCAAGCACCCTTCTCCTTTTTTTCTACTCTTTATCGAACAATGTTGACACTGGAGAACACAGATGATGTTTTGTGGGACGTCGCAACGGACGATGACTCGCTGGGACTGGATCATGTGGACCGCACCCGCACTATGCGCAATGGTGCTGGTGACATGTTTTTGCGCTAGATCATAGGTCTCCGTTGAGCCAGTGTAACGCGTGTATGAAGTACGCATGTATAGAAGGCGCATGAACAGAGCCTCAAGGATGGGGAGCGATTCTAGTAGCGGAGGTTTTTATCTCATATCAGGAGGAGCTTTTCCCTTACTCTCAGAAAAAAGAAACCAGTTATTTGGCATTATACTATCTCTTACGAGGTTCATGGACTTGCTTCCGAGCTGGGCGGAATGAACGAATATGGCCAGGAGGATGCGTTGCGAAAGAGATGTGGATATATTCCACCAGTCAGCGGTCAGTGGAGTTCGAGAGAATGAAGGAAGTAAGGTATTAAGCAAGAAAATACTTCCGAGTTCTACGAGCCCGACTGTTTCACTGCCATGACTTGTCCGCGGTATCTACTGAGTAGGTACCTTAGGTAGCTCCTTGCAAGTTGATTTATAAGACCGAACCGTGAAGTCGGTAATAATGAGTACGTACCTTAGTAATACACCGTACTTCGTAGGTACTCCGCAAGGTCGGTGTGGCGCACACCGAATTGCCACACAGAGACCACCAAGTGGGTCAAAAGTTTTACGGCGGTCAACTCGGGCAGAATTGTTCAACGGAAAGTGATATGCTTCTGGAAGACTTGCGACACCTCCATCACTCCGTCTTCGCAAGAACCGAGCCTCTTCTTAATAAAACGCGCTTCCTTTTCCCCGTCTCGCGAAAGAGAATCATCTTCAGCACTTAGAACGCCCCAATGAATTTTCCCGTGTCAGGAGGTGGCGCCTCGCCAGGTCCGGAGCACTATGAGAAACTTGTACGTCGGGCCCCCTCCATCCCCTCCACCAAGTTCCTAGTCGCAACCAGGAGCAGACTTTCGCGCTACATCTCGCGATGGGAGATAAGTTCACGCTGACATGGATCGAAAATTTGGACAGATTCGACAAGGGATGGACAACTGCTTTGCGAAAAGCATAATGTCCGGGGTCATGGGATTCGGCATGGGCGGCGTATTCGGCATGTTCATGGCTTCGGTATGTTGGTGCCTCGCACCTCGCACCTCGCACCTCTTCATGGGACCCCTGGATGTCTCATTCCGTCCTTTTTACGTTCCCCTATCTTCCTCTTTGCCCTGCTGACAAGCAACAACGCCAACAGATGTCCTACGACACCCCCTTCCACACAGCAGTTCCCGGCGGGACAGCAACCCCAGTCAGCTCTCTCCCGCTCCGGCAACAACTTAAGATTGGATTCAAGGACATGGGGACGCGGTCGTGGAGCATGGCGCGCAATTTCGGAAAAGTGGGCGCGCTCTTCTCGGGTATCGAGTGCGGCATTGAGGGCCTCAGGGCCAAGAACGACCTGTACAACGGCGCTGCCGCCGGGTGTCTTACCGGCGGTATTCTCGCGAGGAATGCCGGGCCACAGGCTGCCGTCGGAGGCTGTGTTGCCTTTGCGGCTTTCAGTGCTGCGATCGACGCCTACATGAGGAGTCCGGGGGATGAGTAAGAGTCCCTTAACGCTTTGGCTTGTCCACCGTCGTGGGCGGTGGGAAAGGGCAGTACTGGCCCAGGCTGGTAGCCGAAGAAACACCCGGCTCATGACTCCGGACCCCTCGGCGAAACGGCGGTGGCTGGGTTGGTTCGATGGGCCGCTTTGTACAACATACGACTTTGTTTCTGGGCTGTCCCGCCCGAGACTGAATGCTCTTTTGCGCATGGCACGGCGTTCTTTTATTTTTATTTTTGGCTTACGGAGATGGGATAGACTCGTTGCTGGACTTGGTTGTCAAGCAAACGATAAAGGTTAGAAAAATCACCCCGCTTATACCATAACCTTCGGGTCGAGATGCACCCGGCAAGATGTTATATATAGTGTAGAATATGGTACATGGAGGAGCATGTCGGCAACTTGCTAAGCATAATGAGAATGAGTTCGACCGAGTGTCCGGACGAGCTAACTGCTTTGACCGTGCTTTGATGAGCGTGGGGTGCTCTGCAATTATAGTGTACTAGGAAAGCCCTTTGGTTCTTCCACGTTTGTTGGTTCGGAACTGGTTAACCAATTGAGGAGTTTCAAACAGTCTCAGACCATCTAGACATATAGTGTTCTATTTTCGTTGGAGATCCGAGGGATAAATGAGGATATTTATTTAATTATATGGAAGTTTGGCCCTCACATGAAGTCCTGGCCAAGTCGCCACTCCTGTACGTTGTTATGACTGGTCTCTATGGAGATCAAACATAGATGGAATCTAGTCTTTGGCTTAGGTGCAACGGAACGATTGGGTTGACATCTGCTCGTTTGGCCTTCGGACAGGCAAATCCATGCATTCAGAATAGTGATTGTTGATGCCGTCAGCCAGAGGACGGCATGGTCTAGCCAGTCCTTCCCCTTGGCCGAAACACACTGCCCGATATATCTTATTCTCCAAATGCCTTCTTGTCCATTAATCTTCATCTTCGTCCACCCTCGCCTTCTTGGGCTTCCGTGAATCCTCTTCCTGCAGGCCATAGCCTCTCTTCGCTGCCGTACTCGTCTCTACTTCGGACAGAAACTTATCTACGTTAAATGGGTCTCCGGCATCCTTTTCGAATTGGACGGGCCCCTCACGTGCCTGCAAAACGACCATGTTAGCAGAAGAAATGATCCTAGTGGAACATCTCAGGAGGAGACTCACCTCGGCATCCTCTGCGCCTTTGAAGGTCCCCCTACCCAGAACCTCTCCGAATCGGCTTGTTTTCTGGATCTTGGCCATCTCTTTCTCTCCAGCCGCCTCATCCTCCTCGTCATCCACGTTCGCGCGGGGTCGATATATACTGCTGATGGCATCTTGCGCCGCAAAGAGTGGCTTGTCGTAGGGGTTATCTTCGTTGAACCCGCTGTCGAACCCGCTCGTCTGGTTGAATAACCTGGAATCGTACATGGCTTCTTTGGATTGGGTGGGTTTCGCCAGTCCTAGGGCGATCTTCTCTGAGATGTCTCGGTTTTGTTCTCTGGCCATGACTTGGATCCGCCTCTCTGCACCCATGCGCGACTGTCGCAGTTTCCGCTCTTCTTCCCGCATTCTTTCCCGTCGAGCCTTCTCACGTTCGCGGACTTCGGAGTCGTCGCTGGCAGAGCCCTCCGCGTCGGAGCCGCTGTACGAACGAGAACGAGAACGAGAACGAGAACGAGACCGGGAACCAGAGCCAGAGCGTCGACGTCCTCCGCGGGAGCGTTCTTCCCTTGCCTTTTGCGCCAGCATGCGTAGATGCTCCTCCTTCTGTGCTTTCTCCTTTTCGGCCAACCTTTGCTGCATCTGTGCACGTTGCCGGACTTCCTCCCGCGCATGCCGATCGGCGACGTAGAGTGCTTCGGAGAACTGGGCGAATTTGTCGTTGATGGCAATATCCTGCAACCCTCTCCCGTCAGCGGCAAGCCGCTTATCCAAAGGCACCGTGAAACCCTTGGGGTTCTTCCAGTTTGAGACGGGTGGTGGGATCCTCCACATCTCTTGGTCCTCGGCGGTAAGTTTTCGAGGAGGGGAGTGCATGAGGGGCGGAGGCGGACTCGGCGGGCCCCGGGGAATCTTCTTGTGCTTGAACTTGGGAGGCTCCATTGGGTCTCTTTGCGCCTCGACAATCTTCATGATACGGTCCTGTTTTTTGGAGTTGTCGCCCATCTGGCTGGCCGGCGTGTAGCGAACGAAAGTCGCGTCTCTCCGTGAACCGACGTTGACGTTCTTCGGTTTCTGCGAGGCTACGGCGGTATTTACGAGGGCTGCCAGAGCATTCTTTGTCTTCTCTGTCGCGGCGGCCACCTCCTCCGCACTCGGCCGACTGAGATCGATCTCGCCTGCATCGGCCCGCTGTCGCAGCGGGATCAAATCCTTGAAGGAGGTGTGGATGATTCGGTCTGCGCTGTGTCCCTGTCGGGCTATGGCATCGTAGGCAACTTTTCCTTCGGCGTCGACTTGGACGGTCAAGGCGTTGCTGGTGGTGGCTGTCTTCTTGCCCATGTCCAGGGGGTATTGGGCGACGGGAATCTCGGGGAAAGCGCCTCCATCTCCGAAGTCCTCCTGTGATCGCGGTCGCCATCCGGCTCTCTGCCGGTACGGTGGAGGTCCCGACCTCTTTAACACGATTTGGGTTTCGTCGATTTGTCCGACGCCGACGACGCGCGGGCCGCGCTGCTGGGCACGCGAAGGGGGTTCCTCATCCTCGCCTGTGTATTTGGGTTTCGGAAGCGCCAATGCCAGTGATGATGCTGAAAGGGATGTCATTATGCCTCTGGGAATGTGGTGGGATGGTTTGGAAGGGGGAAGCTTTGGGCGATGTTGAACTGAGCTTGTCGTACTACCCAGAGGCTCGTGACGAAAGCAAGAAATTAGCATTGGCTTTTAGAAGGCGAGCTCAAAGAAGGACTGCCTGCCCGGGTTGTACTTGGAGCCGGATCGAGAGTTTTTGCGGTGCCCGAACTGCGTGGTTCATTACCTAAGTATCGATAATAAGCATTACCTTAGCTAAGCGTTTTTTTTTTTTTTTCGTATCCTTAAGCTATCCTCCAGATCAACCTCCGTTTAGTCATCCAGAGAACTACCATTGTCCAAGAAGACTGCCACGAGAGTGGTGAAAACGTTCAAGTTACCCAGTGGGATAATTATGAGGTTCTCCCGAAGAATCGCGGTGGTCTAAGCCGGGTGTATTTATTATGGCCCGGCAAGCAGGTAAGAAGTCATATTTCGATTCTCCCGCCGCCTCTAAGGCACATGGGATTCTGGACGGCGAGATAGTTCAGGCAACTTTACATGCGTTCCAAAGTGATAGATAAGCTTCAGGATTTCGGTCCACTTTTGCTTTGCTGAGGGAAAGTATGCGGTGCTGGTGTCATGCCTATATGAGAATATGGGGAGGAGGTTCGCCGGCTCGTTGCGAGGTTACCCGCTTGCATATACTTATATGCCAGTGTGGCATGGCTAAGGTAAGGTACTGTAAGATGTGCATGATTCTTCTATATGAATGATTATCTAGTGGAATATTCGGCAGGAATTTTGACAGCACCCCACGCGTTATACGAGGAGTGCCGAGGCCGGATACACCTCGCCAGAAGCATCTCGTCCTTCCCCGGATTGACATAGAAGCCCCCGGACGCCATCTTCTTCGCACAGGGCTCGCCTAGGTGGTTTTATACAATCGAAGTGGTAAAACGTGTCATTCGTTAATCCATCACACGCCTCAGGTGACAAGCATTGGTAGAATTAGTACAAGAATATGTGTATCGGCGGCCATTCGGAGAGCAAGACCGAGAGCCGTCCCGTTGGACCCAAAACTCGCAGTCCTTTAGGCTGGTCTCGTTGGCCGTCGTGGTGTAGTGCTTCCACACCCACAGCTAGCACTCGTTTCCGGTGCCGGTTGTCGGTATCGGGTGAAGGCTCAAGGCCCGGGGATCAAGAAAATCGATCTCCCTTGCGACTTATAAATGGTGTGCTCTCATATTTGCTCTTTTCAGACAACCTTTGACCCTCGGTCGTCGGGGCATGGCGTGTTGGTGCTGGGTCGGCTCCCGACTCTTGACTTGGGGAGCCCGCCAGGTCAGTCCGCGCTGGGCCAGAAATGCCTTCTGAGTCCTGCAATTCCCTAATTATCTCTTGCTTGCGGCGTCGTTCGTCAAGCTTGGCCCTGCGATCCGCGTCGATGGTCTTCTTTGCGAAGTAGTATGCGCCACCGCCAGCTATTGCGGGGTTTCAAATTGCTACGTCAGCCTTCTGCCGTTGGCTTCATTCGAAGTCATAGGACAAACTTACCGATACAGAGGGAGGTCATTCCCACCCTAGAGAAAAAAGAAGATAGTAGGTTAGAAAACGGAACGGCTTTGGTGGGTGTTGGAGAAGAATGGCGCCGATGCGCTTACCAGAACGACTTGACCTATGCGTTTTATTTGGTTAGTTTCGCCGACGTCCTGAACGGCCCGAAAGAGCTGAAGACTTACCGTATTCATATTGGGCATTCAATCGCGAGCAAGATTTGAGAAAGGTGCGTCGTAGCGATTGGGGGGCCGGGATGAAGTCGAGGGCTGAAAAGGCTTAAAAAATAAAATAAAGCTCTGGAGGGAGAAGCGGACATGGATGACTTGTGAGGTGATGGGGTGATATCACCGGTTGTTCCACGGGTTGCATCCATTGAAGGGTGCATTGAGCTGGCCCGTGCATCGGAACGCACTCCACAACTTGAGCTGGGGTCCAGACTCTGCGACTCTGGTAGTGGGGTAATTAGTACCTTACTCATCGATATTACACGGTACGAAGTACTTTTCAGTACCTTGCTCAGAGACTCAGAGACTCGGGGATCGATCAGTGCCGTGGCGATTGAGCTTACAACGTAATTACAGGGGGCTTACAACGGGCTAACAGCCCAGCGTCGGCTTCTGAACGACCTAAGGCCTTCCGAGATGTGTGCCCCGCTTACTGCCAAGCCGGCAGAGCACCTTGAGTAAGGGTACCTCAATGACACCGGAAGGGACAAATTTACTTCGCATAAGCCTCTACGGCCATTATCCGTACTTGCCGGAACATCGGATGAGGGAAAGAATGGAGGAGATGAGCAGAGATGATGCTTATAATCACAAAGAAACTTGATATCTAGGTAAGGTAGGTACCTTACGTAAGGTACCTAAGATAAGACGGGAGACGTAAAAAACATTGTCGTGTAAGGTACCTAGGTAGGAATTTACCAGCGTTGGTCTTCTGGTCGTGTGAGCAAGTTTGTATGAATATATAAAGGGTCACTTAAGTACCTGAGACAATGGTACGTATGACACGGTATCGATACTACTTCGTGGGTACAGATACTCACTCCGTTTAGGTATCACTAGGTACCTTATGTACGGAGTAGGTACTCCAAACCAATGTCTCGGCAGACGGCGACAACAATTTATGATGGGGCATTTTATTATTCTCATGGAACTTGGAGACCACTAATAAACTTGTGGTTGGACATTGAAACAACAACCCTGGGTGGACGTTTCTCCCTTCTTCGTGTCCAGCCCTGTGTCGTGTTGGGAGTTCGTCGTTTATCATTCCTAAACAAATCAACCGCAATTCTGGCACGGGTGGTTGACAATGTGCTATTATTTGTCACTCTCTCGATCTGACTGATTTTATGAAGGCAGCAGTACCTGCTTCATTTACTTCGATTCCCAAAGTGGCCCTACAACACCAACCCGTCATCAGCGCCATTGCCATCGCCATCGCCCGCTTTGCACCCCCTGCGTGTCCGGTCCCCCGAATAAGCACACCGAAGCGCCAGCCTCATATTGGGTGGGAGCGTCACTTCATTATGCTTAGACTTGTATCAAGGCTACAACAAACGCTCTTTTGCCTTGCCGCCTTTCGTTCCATGTTCAAGCTCAACTCCAGTTCCAACCACCACTCCGCGTCGTTCCAGTTCCAGTCCAGTGCCTCTCCGCGCTGCATACATTCCCGGGCCGCACCTTTCGTCATCCATTTCGCCAACGCCTGCTACGCTGGAGCCTCACCCTCGAGATAATATCGTTCGCCGCTCTCTCCTCCCAGTCTATTTTGATTCCCCCCCAACGACAGACGAGACCTGGGCTTCCGAGAAGCTAGGATTATGGGTGTTCTGGCTCCAAGATCCTCTTCGACTCTCTAGGTTCTTGTCTGGTTTGACCGAATCGGTCTTGTGTTCGCTATGGTTTCCCCTGACATGAACGGGACGGATGGCTCGTCCATCGTGAGTTGTCGATCCTCCGGTTCAAACAAGTGCCCATCCTTCACGCCTCTCTTTACTCACCTGTCTTGCAGAAGCCCGTCTCCTCCCTCCGAGCCAAGTTCGAGAACATGCACACGAATACCTCTTCCGAACTCGGATCAGGCCCAACTCCACCCAGAACGTTGTCTCCTTCTCCAAAACCAGATCAGTCTCGAGATGTACGGGCATCCGAAGAAGCCTCGAACGGAACGCGACCCCCTCCCCCAAGACCACGAAGTGACCGTCTCTTCACGCCTGCGACACATCTCCCTCTACCACAGCAGGAGCTGGCTCCTCGCTCACCCGCTCGTGCCGTCGGTCCTCCGCCTCCCTTGAGCCCCAGGCCTATCAGGCCGCCTCCTTCGGTCATGGTCCAACCACCCTTGTCGCCACCGAAAGCCGTCGGTACCAGACCTTCCCAAATCGAATCCACAACCTTCCTGAACCCCGACTCTGTTGCGTCGACACCTACAACTCCCGTGGTCCCGCCACGGCCGCTCAGATCACCGAGTCCCTCCACGACTGTCCGGGAACCTAGATCAGTACCCAAGCCGAACCCCGTCAAAGCTCCATCGCCCCCGCCCCCAAGAAGATCCGCCGAGCTGAGGAGGGAAAGAGAATACAGGCAACCACCGCCGCCTCCCGTCAGTCGGGGAGCAAAGCCAAAGCCCTTGATCCCCGCGCAGTCAAATATCCCACCGCAGGTCGATCGCGCGCGCGAAACTGAGCCGAGGAAACTGATCAAAGAAGAAACATCCCCTTTCAGCAGCCCGCCTACTAGCCCGGGAAGCACCAACGGGGAAACACCTCCGCTACCCGCGAGGCCCAAGCCGCACGTTGTGCAGCCGGAATTGTCACGCCCAAAGGCCTCGGACCTCGGGTTCAAGCCGCCGCCTATACATCACTCCCTGGCGTTGAAGAAGCATCGCGAAAATGAAGCGGCCGATAGCACCCGAGATCGGATCACAGTGTCCCAGTTAACTGGTGAACAGCCGCCTGCGTTGCCTTCACGGCCTCAAACGGTGCCTGAGCCGGCTGTCGTCCAGGAGACACAGAGCTACGCAATGAAACCTCCCCCCCGACCGCCCCGACTGGCTGCAACATCAGTCTTAACCCGGGAGCTTCCGCCTGCTCCAAAACGGATAGTCTCCACGCCCACTTCGCAGATCCTCCCACCTCCGGGTCAGATACCGGGACGTTCCAACACTGTAGTGGATCGACCGTCAGATAGAAGCGATAAGGGCGCGGCGCATGACGTTCGACCCTTACCCCATCACGCCGTACCTACTTGCACGACCCCTATTGCGTCTCAACCACCGGGCGCAAAGCCGGAAGTAACGGTCTCTGGATACCCAGACCCCTCGAACACCAACCGTAGGCCACCATACGTCAAGCAAGGGGCTCATGAGTTGGCGACTAAGTACGATACTCGTCTGTTCGACGTGTGCGGCGACTTGGTGTGTACAACCGGGCTCCTGACTCGGGTATGGAATGTCCGTGACGGGGAGATGTTGATGAGCTTTTCCCACGGAGAAGGTATCAGGGCCACTGCTGTGGCATTCAAACCTGGCCCCAACGTCGACGAGGAAGGCAAGCGCCTCTGGATTGGAAATAACATGGGCGAGATTATGGAAGCCGATATTGCCACACAAAGCGTGGTGGCTAAGAAGGGCAATGCCCACGCCCGCCACGAAGTCGTCAAGATATATCGACATTACAACGAACTATGGACGCTGGATGAAAGTGGCACAATAGCTGTCTGGGGGCCTGACGAGGAACATACGCCCAACCTGGACAGGAACCCGCATCAGACCTATCGCGTTCCCAGAAACCATACGTTCTCCATGGTGATAGGAAGCGAGCTGTGGCATGCGACGGGCAAGGAAATTCGCGTCTTCGCGCCGACTATGGCAGGCGAGACGCAGTTCCAGGTTCTCGTACGGCCGCTTACGCAGGATAACGCAGGAGACGTTTCTTCTGGGACACTACTCCGATCGCAGCCAGGAAAAGCCTTCTTCGGTCACAGCGATGGGAAGATCAGCGTATATAACACCAAGGAATATTCTTGTGTCGCCGTCCACAACGTCACTAGCTTCAAAATCAATACGCTGGCCGGCGTGGGCAGTTACTTGTGGGCGGGCTTCAACAATGGCAGGGTCTGCGTATACGATATCGAACCGACACCCTGGTTAATCAAGAAGGAGTGGCAAGCTCACGAAAACCCCGTGGTCAAGATTGCGATGGACCCTTCAAGCTTTTACAGACTCAACCGGTTACAGGTCGTCTCCCTTGGGGCTGACAACATGCTCCGGTTGTGGGATGGGCTGCTGCAAGATGATTGGTACGAGGCCCATATGAAGGCCCATGAAACGAGCTTCTGTCGGTTCGAGGATTTGAATGTCATGGCCATGACTTGGAATGCCGGGGCCTCAACACCACACAGCCTCCGATATGCGGAGGAAGATGCCGTCTTCATTCGCAACCTGCTACAGTCCAGCGGCTCACCGGACATCTTGGTATTTGGTTTCCAAGAACTGGTTGACTTGGAAGACAAGACCGCGACGGCTAGTAAGTGTTTTTTTCTTCTTTTTTCTTCTTTCTTTTTTTTTTTCATTCATATACACCCAAAACGAGGGGCACTGCTGACATGGAACCAGAACGCTTCCTCAAATCCAAGAAGAAGGAAGGTCCGGACCAAGAGCGTATGAGCCATCAATATCGCGACTGGAGAGACTTCCTCCTTAAGAGCCTTGATGACTATATGCCGGCTGAACACCTGTACCATCTACTTCATACATCTACACTCGTCGGTCTCTTCACGTGTATCTTTGTCAAGGCGTCAATACGCGATCGAATCCGGAACCTGAGCTCGTCGGAGGTCAAGCGCGGCATGGGCGGGCTCCACGGCAACAAGGGTGCCATTGTCGTGCGATTCATGGTCGACAACACATCCATGTGTTTCATTAATTGCCATCTTGCCGCAGGGCAATCCCAGGCGAACAGCCGCCACAACGACATTGCTGCTATTTTGGATACCCAGCTCTTCCCAGTCGAACGGGACCCCGACACCCGCATAGACAGTTATATGGGCGGTGGAGACGGCTCGATGATTCTCGACCACGAACTATGCCTTCTCAACGGCGACCTCAACTACCGAATCGACACCATGTCCCGGGACACCGTCGTCATAGCCGTGAAGCAGAACAACCTTGCCAAGCTCCTGGAACGCGACCAGCTCCTTGTCGCGAGGCGCCGCAACCCGGGCTTCCGGTTGCGGGCTTTTGACGAGATGCCCATCACGTTTGCGCCGACGTACAAGTACGACGTAGGAGCCGACACATACGACACAAGCGAGAAGCGTCGCTCCCCGGCGTGGTGCGACCGGCTGCTCTACCGCGGCGGCGGCAGGATCAAACAGCTCGATTACAGGCGGCATGAAGTCCGCGTATCGGATCATCGACCTGTCACAGGCCGATTCAAGTTTACGGTTAAGTGGGTTGATCCTAAAGCTCGCGCCAAGACATGGATGGACTGTCAGATTAAGTTGGAGGAAGTTCGGGAGAAGGAGGGATTAGAGGAGAAGTATGGTTCCCAGCCCCTTTTCGTCCCCCCGTTGTTTGATTGTCGGCGTATCCCATCGTGCTGACTGATCATGGACAGAATGGCATATTTGACAAAGGTAATCGGCTATGACACAACCACGGCGCAGAGTCTCGTCTCCCGGAGAGACCGGGGTCCCAGTCAACGCTGAGGGACCCAACGGTTGTGATATTGGAGAAATATACCTATAGAACCGAAACCAAATGCGCCATTACCACTCAATGGTCCATTGGGAATAAGGGACGGTCTGACTTAGGCATGGCACGTCAGCGGTAAGACGAGCGGAGAGGGTCAGAAGGAGTATCGGTGCATTAGAGTGGTGATGTGGAGGGAACGAAACGAAGGAAGCGACTCATTCACGAGCAGTCCAAGCAAGTCGGGCATTCGGGTGGCATACTGCCTCCTTGTCCAGCGATCGAGAGACAGGTGTTACCACCGACATAATGACGAGAGGACATCCACCAAACCGGGACGCAGGGCGTGATCGGAGCATATGTCATTGAAGCTGCATCGCATGGATAGATAGACGGTAGTAATTCCACAGCCTTAATACAGCGGCCGTCGTACTACAAACAGCGACGAGAGCATTACCTCAGATCACATCGGGACATGGACCTTCCAACATCGAGTGACTGGGTCTTCCTCAGGAAGGTCTGACAGCACGTCGTTTCTCACTTCTCAGAAAACCATCCTCACAATAGGAGGAAGCACAAGTGACGATTATTTCGACATGCTATTTCGCCTTCACTCTCGGGACTAGTGGTGCGGCTCTACAAGTATTGTTTGTGTATTGACAAGTGGCCCACGTCTCCGTGGGACAGAAAACAGACAAGACTAGCGCCACAACATTGTCTATTTCAGTTGTCTCAGGAGACGATTGAATGATTTTTCTCCGCGACTCATTGCTTCAACTTTTCCCGTCCAAACTCTTCAAATTTCTATACCTCGCAACGCAGCAACACTAAAACGAGAGACAAAAAAACAAAACTGGGACAGCTAAAGAGCCTCCCTATGAAATAGCAACACTGAACAACAGAGATACAAAAAGCAAAAGATACCGGACGGGTTCCGACCCTCCTTGACAGCGCCTAAAGACCAAGAAGAGCCTTGGCCCCAGGGTCGCTGCATACATAGATGACGTCATGTTCGTCGGAGAAGCCATTGAATTTGGTGGCGGAGCACTTGGTATAAGCGCCCATGTCTTCGAAGTAAAGCCAGTCGCCGACGTCGAGCTCGTGTTCGAAGGAGATGCTCTCCGTGATCCGGTCAATGCCGTCGCAGGTGGGTCCCCACACCGAGTAGCGTACTCCCTGGCCCTCGGGGCAGGCATTGGCCGATGGGAGGTCATACAAGGTGCTCTTGCCGGTGCGCAGGACCTTGGCAACGGGATGCTGGTGGTCGAACATGATGCTCGAGAAGTTGCCATAGAGACCGTCGTTGACATAGACCATGTAGCTCTTGTTGTCCCGGGCCGTGGGGTCTTCGACGGTACGACGGGCAATGACGTTGCAGGCAATGGTGAACGCCGAGGAGACGTAGTAGCGTCCGGGCTCCGCGATGATGCTGACGTTGCTGCTGGGCGGGAAGTACTCATCCAGGGCTTCGCGGAGAACAGCCGCCATATCCTCAAACGTGTCACCGCAAAATCCGCCGCCGATGTCGAGAACCTTCAGATTGAAGCCGTATGCACGACCCTGCTCGAAGACTTCGTAGGCATCATAGACAGCCTTGTAAAACGCCATGGGGTCGGAAGCACCGGAACCGACGTGGAAGCTGACGCCGACGACGTTGAGTCCGAGATCCTTGGCGACGGAGAGGAGGCCACTCGTGTGCTCCTTTGCAGCGCCGAACTTCATGCTCAGGCGGCAGAGGCTGGATTCGTCGTCGGTCATGATGCGCAGATACAGCTCAGCTTCGGGGTAAAGCTTCGCAATCTTGTATAGTTCGTCGGCATTGTCGAACGTCATCTGCTTGACGCCATGGGCCTTGACGTAACGAACGTACGAATTGGTCTTGCAAGGCTGAGCGTAGATGATACGTTCGGAGGCCAAGCCCATCTTGATAATCTGCTCGACCTCCCACTTGGAGGCGCAGTCAAATCCGGTGCCGAGAGCGGCAAGGAGCTCAAGGACCTTGGGATCGGGGTTGCACTTGACGGCTGGCAAGAAGTTAGTTTGACGGGACTCAAATATTGAGATTCACCATGTCGTCGAGACATGTTCTGAACAGTCCAAGGAACGGAACTCACCATAGAAAGGCTTGACGCGGGGGAGGTTGAGCTTCCAACGCATGTGCTGTCGGTAGACCTCGCCAAGATCAGCGACGAAGAAGGTATCTTCTTCGCCCGGGCCGCACAACTCGGGGTCAATGCTTTCAACGCGACGGCGGAGAGCATCGCCGATCATCTGCTTGGGGCTGATCACGCCATGTTTGAAGGTTTCATGGTCGCCATAATGACTCGTCTTGAGGACGTGATGGTAGCTACGATCAAAATTGATGGTAGCCGGGGCAATGTGCTCGATGGCGACTGTTGCCATTACCATATCCTAGGTAGTCAAATGGGGAGGTGAAGAGCCGGGTTGAGCAGGTGGCCGGGGAAAAAAAACGGTAGGAGTCGCGACGGAGTTGTACGCGTTTCCGGGTTGTTTGTTTTTACGCTCTCACGTTTAGGCGGGAGAGGATGATTGTCAAAAGATCGGGTGTTTAGAACACGTGTTATGGGGGTCGGAAACGGTAGCAAGCTGGTCCCTCAGCGACTTGACGAGGCCTCCTCGACTCTCCCTCGGCGAGAGGAAGAGGCTCAGAACCCGTCCTATGCGGCAGCTGGTGGGGGTGGGAAGCGACGGGGGGCGTCTGGTAATGCAAACCGCCGAAGAAGAGGTCGAGCGTGTGCTTAGGCGATCTCAGCCGGCGGGGGAATGTCGTTGACGATGTGGAAGTAGTTTCGGAGGCTGAAATCTTGATCACTAACGAAGATCTCGGCCACGGGAGCCGTCTTGATCGGGGCGGCCTTTGAAACGCCAAAGGCCAAGTCGCGGATTGTTAAATGGGTAGTCTTCGCTGTCTCGAAGACCTGCAATATGATAGCATCCGTTAGCCTGGGTTCCTTGTCCAGACGAGCCAGCATGAAGGAAAGAAAAAGAAAAAAAACGCTAAAATCCTGCGTGTGGCGAAGCGGCAAATTGATGTGAAAACAAGGCGTCCTCCATGTGCATCGAGAGGCTCATGGTCAGATATTGCACGACCATGGCCAGTTATTTCCGCCTGTTCGGCTCAATCTGCCTTCTTTTTCACGGTGATTCTCGATGTGAAGGCCAGGAGCAGGCAATTTGTCGAGTGGGCGGGGGAGGAAATCGAGTCCGAATTCGCGAAGAGGGATGCAAAAGCGGTGTCCGTACTCACCCGTGCGGTTTTTTTTTCCCTCGAGGCCGAAAAAAGGCTATAAAATCGCGGCGAAGTAAAAGAAAAAACCTCGTGGCGAATACCAAAGAAAGTTTGAAAACTGGTCCGGTAGAACGTGTCCGTATGAGCTGTGTAGAGAGGGGAAGAGTACGGAAGAGGGAGGAAGGAAAAAATCCAGGTATAGTCGGAGGAGCTGTGGATGTGTGAAGCTTGTGGCGGGAGAGCAGCATGAAGCCTTTTTATTAGGTCAAGGGATAGTGGGGCCCAGTTCCTGAGAGTCACCACGCACAAAATTTTGACTCGTTCTCCGTCATCTGGCCTGCGGACCAAGAGGTACAATGCTGTACTCTGCAGGTACTGGGCTATTCGTTTCTTCCAGCGTCTCGGTTCCCACTTTCCATATCCTTTCTTTCTTGTGAAGATCCCCTCACTGAACCAATCATTTCCCTCAGATTGGTATTTCTCTGGTCTCGGGGGCCTATTTCGCTTTCTGACGGCTCCAGGAGCCAGGTAATAATGTAGAGTATCTAGACTCTCAGCAAGCTACGTATTCTGCGTACACTAAATGTACTCGGTACGGAAAAGCTTGCGGAGCAGTCGTTGAGGTTTCGAGGTTTCGGCTATTCAATGATAGGTTTCAGCCAATCGGTAACGAGCTAAGGCACAGACGAATACTGAACGGGTACAAAGGCAGTACATCCGAGAGTAAGTGTGCTCCGTCGATGGAGATGGGGGGCCTCAACTTACACGCGAGCAACGCGTCTTTCACCATCCTCTGCGCCAGCACCATTTCAAGATGCGCTGAAACAGCCAAGTACTTCGTAAATTTAGGTACCTTATGATACGGTTGCTCCTTCCTCCTGCATATATGCACCGCGCGATCCTCAATTCATTTCCTCCCACCCCGCCGTCCACGACGCCATTTGAGATAGATACCCTATGTAGCGGTATCACATCAAACAAACCATTCCGTCCCTGCGTTCCGGCGCACGCAGCTCCCAAACCGCAACTCTTTCGGTGTGCGGCCTCCACAAGAAATTTGAATTTCCCTAACAGGCCCCGTTCGTCGGCTCATTCTCGGCTCATTATCTTTTCTTCCTCCATTCCCCTCTTGCATCGCCGATGACAGAAAACAAAAAAAGTGCGCCGTCTGCAACTGCTGACCGTTGAGCTGCATGCTCCGGGTTCCAGTCATATACGTCGCCCACTATCACGATGCACCTGTGCTGTACCTAGTGTGCTTCAAAGTCCGAACGGACCCTCTTCACAAGAAGCACGACAATACCTAGGTAGCTTTCTTACACCGTCGCTGTCATGGTCGACCAATCCCGGAAATTGCCTCACCCAGTTGATCCGGAGGCCATAGTCCGCTTTTTAGCCTGATTATATATGATAGAAAGGATAGGAAAGCTGGTGGAGTAAAGACGATGCATTATTGTACACGACCTTACGGTAAAAGCTCCCCTCGTTTTCCGATGGATTGCTTCTGGGGCAGTTTGTGCCTCGATATCAAAAGAGCATTACCCATAATATACTACGGAGCCCGTAGGTATGTACTTGTTACACCGTTTACACTCGCCATCCAAGAAATGCTTCTGTCTATCTCAAATAACATCACATGGGGCTAAACCCATCTTTCTGCCGAAGACAAAAGAATATGGTAGAAGAATGAAAACCCTACATTTTCGTTTGTTTTAATTATCTCAAAGCAAGAAAAAAATGGAAACTCAGTAGAAGTTGTGGCGGGGTGGTGGTGACGTAGGCGGGGCATTTTCATCTCTCGGCAGCGTTTACTGTACCCTAACGTCCCGCCTCACCAGAGCCCAAGGCCAACCCTTTTGCGAATCCTGGCCTCTACCTTGGCGCTGTCCATTGTCTTCACAATTCGGACGTGATGCCCATCGTCCCGGACAAATGCTATCTGATAAAACAATCAAGGACACACACACGGATCGAAAACGGTGAGACATATAGAAACACTTCGTATGTACTCTGCTCTATAGTCCAACACTCCAAAGCTGAGGAGGTCGGCTCTGAAGGAGCGAGCACGCCGGTTGCGACGGTTCATCCAGCCATGTAGACTAGGTGAGTGTGCCCCCAGGCGTCCGCTATCGTTTGTTCTCGCGTTTTATTGTGGTCTCTCAGCCATGGGGAAGTAAAGGCAGAGAGACGTATCGTATCTGAACGCTGAATTTGGCATGCGGTCGAAATCAAGAAGAAGACTACAAAATCCGGAGAAGAGGGTATATATCTTGTAATATGTTAGTACAGGTGTATAAAGATACAGAGTAAAAAAATCTCGAAAAAGAATGTTGGAAATGCTGCATGTTAGCCCTGCAGGAGTCGCACTTGCTCATGTCGCTCCATTCGACGATGACCACGATTACCATGAGTGAGCGTGCCCCCGACATGATTCATCTGATGTCGCAGTTGATAATGTGTGGTCGTCGGGAGTCTTCGTAATAGAGCGCATCTAATCCCCGTTCTTGATGTTCATCTCATGAATAGTCCAGGTCCCGTCGACCCAAGGCCTCTTCTCTCCCAAAAAAGCCACACGCTCATCGCCCTTCTTGAGGGCATCCACGATATACTGTTGTGCCACGTCGCGGACCTGATCTTTGGAGACGTCTAACAACTGCTCGCGGCGCTTTTGCTTCATCTCTTCTGTGATGCCGGACAGGAAGAGCCCCATTCCTTCCTCATTCACCGAGCGTGGCGCATCGACGCTTTGGAAGACCGAAATCTTGGCTTCTTCAATGTCGCGGTCTGTCCACTGCTTGTCCACAGCCCACTGTCCAGCATTGCGCATGATGCCCAACGTGTTCTGCGGATTAGGATCGCGGTACGAATAGAAACCGAACAGGCCGTCCAAGGGACGCGAATACGCCCCGCCGCCGTAAGCACCGCCCTTCTCCCGGATCTCGTGGTGGAGGTGCTTGTGCGTCAGGAGCTGCGCTAAAATTTGAAGTGGCGCGCCCTCCTTGGACGTGTACGAGGCGGTGGGTAGGGAGAGGGAACCATAGTACACCTGGTACGGCAGTGGGAAAAAGGATTTGATATCCTTAGCAAAGCTTGTCGGTTGGGTAGCAGGGAGGGTTGCCGATTGGGTAGGGATAGATGACATGAACTTCGTCAGCGCGGAAGCGTTCTGCTCTACGCTTTCTGCCCCGCATGTCAGGGCCGTCCGGATGTTCCCCCCGGCGAGCGCGAGCTGCTGGATCCTCTTCAGCTTCTCAATTACGTCCACTAACCCGTCGGATTCGGGTCTATTGGCCAAAGATGTCACCAGCTTCACTTGTGACAACCCGCCAATCTGCTGTCGGAGCCACGCGTTGCGTGTCAATCCTGCCTCGGCGAAACCGCGAGCGAATTGGTGCCCGGAAGAGGCAATGTCATTGACAACTCCGTCGGCTGAGGCCTGCAGGAGTTGACGGATCCTCTGTCCAGCCTCGGGACTGTCAAAGTCCGTTTCCTGGATCAATTTACGCAGAAGGTCGAACATGGCTGGCACATTCCGGTCCAGTGCCATTCCCGCGAAGATGATACCCTCGGTGGCCAGATGGAAGTCGGTGGGCGATGGCGTGGAATGATACCCAACAGACATACCTCCCGTCTTGAGTTTGATCAAGTCCTCGAGCTGCTCCATGCTCATGTCCTTGGTACCCAAGCGCATGATGCTGTCGGTAAACAGTGGTATAAGCTCTCTCAGATCGTCAGGCAAGTTCTCCAAGGTATTGACCGCGCGGAAATAAGTCAGGCCATTGGTGGGAGCCTCGTGCCACTGGATTTTGACACCGTTGGCCGTGTCGTGGCGCACCTGGACAGGCTCCTTGCCGCGGGGGATGTCTTGCACATGGACTGTAGGCAGGCAGGACAGGTCCTCGGTGTTGGACTTTCCCTGCTCAACCAACAGCTCAAGTTCGCGTTCCTCGAACCGCTTGCGAGCTTCGGCTTCCCCGCCGGCGTTCTCCGACGCTTCTTTGATTTTTGCGGCAAGTCTATCCTGCTCCTCCCGTGCTAGGTCCTCACTGAAAGTCGCAGAAGGCGCCATGGTGAAAGTCAAAGTGTTGTCGTTCAGCAAGTACTTATCGATGAGGCCATCAAGATAGTCACCCTCGGCAAGCTTTGCCTCAAAGGCTGTAATGGTGTCATTCCAGGCTAGAGAATCGAAGGGATCGACGCCGGTGAACCACTTGGACTTCACCCTGTGCAGAAGAGACATGCCAAAGTTAGCGGTCTTGTGCTTAAGGGCGAGCTCCAGCTGGTGCAGAGAGCCGTCTATCTTGGTCCTGTCGAACCCGGTCTCGCGGACGTCTTTCAATATACGATGTACTTCCGACTTCAGACGCGGCATATCTGCTTCTTGAACGCCAGTCAGGCCGACGGAGAAAATGCCAATTTTGCCAGAACTGTCGTAACCGGCGTTCGGGCTGAAGTCGGTCCCGAGTCCCGACTCGACTAGGCCGCGGTAGAGAGGGGATCCGTAGCCATCCATCAGCAAGGTGGACAGCAGAGCCAGGGAAAAGGACTCGAGGACATCGGAGGTGTCCCCCATGATCCACGAGACGGAGGTCTTGAATTGGCGGTCAGGTGCTACCAGGGGATCAAGAGGCCCCGAGATGACGTGCTCGCGAGGACCACTGCTCAGGTCAATGGGCCGGTGGATGATCTGGGAGCCAGGTAGCTTATCAAACGCATTCAACCGAGCGTTCACCTCCTTTAGATGCTCCTCGAGCGACATATCACCATAGGTAAATATTTTGGCGTTGCTGGGATGATAATGCTGGGCGTGATACTCCCGGAGCTGCTCGTACGTTAAGTCGGTAATTTTGTGTGGGTCGCCGCCAGAGTTGTTGATGTCGGGGAAGATCTCGTCTTGGAAACGAATGTAGAACAAATAACCTGCATCTGACATCTGGCCCTTCATCTCGTTATAGACGACGCCCTTGAAGACAAGCTTTTTGTCGTCGGGGGTGGCTTCACTTGTCTGGGCAGCCTGGGGATTTTCGGGTCCTATCCTCCAACCTTCTTGGGTGAAATCTGTGCTCTTCAGCAACGGATGCAAAGTGGCGTCCATATACACCGACATAAGATTCTTGAAGTCCTGCGCGTTGGTCGTGGCAAAAGGGTAGAATGTGTGGTCCGAGGCAGTGAACGCGTTCATGAAGTTGGACAGGGTGCGCGGAAGCATCTTGAAGAACGGGTCGCGAATGGGATACCTACATTGGCGCGGTAAGCAACAGATTCATCGATACTCTTGGAAACGTACACGTAGATCAACTGGTACAACTGAATCAACTCACTTTTGGCTGCCACAGAGCGTGGTGTGCTCCAGGATATGGGGCACGCCGGTATCGTCTGGAGGGTTCGTCTGGAAGCCGATGGAGAAGACATTGTTGCTGTCATCCCGTGCAATATGCAAATAATCCGCGCCCGTCTTGTCATGTTGAAGGTGCAACGCCGTGAGTTTCAACTCGGGAACGTGTTTGGACCGAAGGAGAGTGAAGCCATGGAGCTTCTCGCCGGTCTTGGGGCACTGGGCGAGCTCAGTCACAGCCCTTCGAGCTGCACCGGCTGCGCTGGTTGCTGTGTTGCGCAACATATTAAACCACGAGGTGAAGGTTTAAACACTCAGATTGACCAGCGCATCGCCCGATACTATGCAAAGGAGAGCAGAGACGGTAAGGTGGCTCCTAAAAGGTGGACGCATCGACAAAATCACTTTACCCTGGAATCTCGGCAGATTTGTTGAAGGTGTCTGGAGCAATAGTACCCGTATTTGAGGTACCTACTGTAGCATGCAGGTGCCACAGTGGATCATTCACGGGGGAATAACGTGGAAGAACCTGGTAATTAGATCCTGAAATTTCTTCCACGCTAGATAGCATTATTAAGGTAGTCGTGGGTACCTACATGTAGTAACAGAACATTCCCATGGAAAGGTAATCTATACCTCCCTTACCTTACTCGAAACCGGACAGCTGCATGACGTGCTAGTGTAATAACCACTATAAGAATAAGAACATAGATATCGCCTCTGCCTATAAGGATAAGTACTAACTCCAGGTAAAACTTAAGTATATTAAATAATATATCTTATAAGTATATTATACTTATAATAGATATTATCCCTTAATATCTGTCTAATAATAATGCTTATTGTTTTACGTTAGTATAGCATATTGAATTTATCCGAGCATTGAAGGTATTCTTGTATCCGAGCCCGTTCGTGTGGCACTCTCGTTTTTCCAACTAGCGATCCACAGTATCCGTCCAATCCCGTTCTCTGCTCGGCGTACGGAGTACAGCCATTGCATCCGGAGGTCCCATTTCTCTGTTCAGGCACACGGGGCAGGCACCATTTACCAAAGCGGGAGTAACTACTCGCATGTTCATACACTATTACTACCTGAATCGAGTCTGCGCACCTGACCTCATGATATTGGTTACCTTCTCTCTTTAATCAACACCCGAGTCTTGCGAGAGGAGGCTACGCATATTGACATTAGCACACACAATAAACGCACAGCATACGAGACGCACATCTTGCTTTCCCACTACATCAATCCCGATTCGGCATCACGTTTTCTGCGCAGTGTTCTGCTGGCCCTATCGGAGATTGTCGACTTTTTCTCCTCCAGCATTTCCATAGACGAACAACCGACCCTACTCTCTCGCCGCCCTACCGAGTACATAGAAAGGCGCAAGTGGCTGCGCAAGAAGAATCCAACCACACGTCTGCGAATTTGAGCTGAGCTACACGGGTTCAGCGACCAGCACGACAGTGTGGGTGGTGTCATTGCGAAACCCTCACTCTGAACATCAGTACATTCGACGCATGACTGTATGCAGAATCCCTTGTGACCAGAACAACGACCATTTTCGCTCCTTCCGATCACCACATTGCGCGCGATGCCTGGGACCTCAGTCGATTCGGGGGCGCCTACCAGCCAAGAGAGTGCCCACCATGCTGGCCCTGCTACTTCGAAGAAGACCAAGCAGCAACAAAAAGGCCTTAAAGCTGTCGATGCGAATGCCTCTAAGCTCCTGAAACACAGAATCGCACAACTAGAACAGGATGCTGCCGGGGAAAAAGATCAAGAAGCTGAGATTGGTGAGTGGGCTATAGCTTCATTTTCTGGTTCTCTTATTGCGCGTTCGTCTTACTATACTGCTTGCGAGTGTACATGAAACCCCTTGCTGCCCAGCACTTTTTTACCCAATGTCTGATAGGCAGTTATCCTCAAGGACCGGCTTCAATGCTGAGTGCCTTACTTATATTTCCATCGGAGTCATACTTACCGGAATTATAATAAGGCATTCAACATATGGAAAGCGACCTACCCAGGCCATGGCTGACGGTGTAATCTTTTTGTAGAACGCGAAGTCAAGCGTGCGAACCGAGAGATGATGCAGCAGGTGTCCAAGATGAACGACATGCAAAAGATCGAGCACTTGACCCGTAGGTCAAGTGAGCTGCTCGCCGAAATGCGACGGATGGAGCGAGAGAACCAAAAGAATAAGAAGCGAGGCGATGCTCTTCAAAAAGAGAAAGACGCAAACCGTACCGAGCTCAGCAAGACTGTCGGTCTGAAGGATAAGTTGGAGAAACTTTGCCGGGAGCTCCAGAAGGACAACAACAAATATAAGGTGCGGCGCACCGCCATCTTCTACTCTGTGGCTTTTGTCCGATGTACCTATAGCTAACGCATAGCAGAACGACAATAAGACGCTCCAAGACAATCTCAAGCACAATACAGCAGCCTACGACGAAAAGTATGCGGCACTCCTGGGTAAGCTAGAAGGCATCCAGGAAGAAAAAGACCATCCACGGAAGCAGGTAGTCGACATTAACATTGAGACCTTGTATGTGGCCCTTGGCTCCGACTTGCATCGGCTATGCATTTCCCGGGAAGTTTGCGGAAGAAGGTGGACTAACAGAAAAGCCAAGGTTCCGGAACCGGTTCAAGTCGTTTATCGAACAATACGAGCTGCGCGAGTTGCACTTCCATTCACAGATGCGGACTAAAGAGCTGGAGGTGCAGTATCACATGGCGCGGTACGAACGGGAGAGGAAGAATGCCGAAGCGGAGGCAGCTAAGGCACGACAACTCCAGGAGCAGGTGCGCACCTTCACGAAGACGGAGACGGAACTCAGGAATCAACTCAATATATACGTTGAGAAATTCAAACAGGTACGTGGGACGGAACAGGGTGCCCCAAGCCCAGCCCAGTTCCCTTCGGCTAATTGGCCAAGGTTGAGGATACCCTGAACAACAGTAACGATTTGTTTCTCACGTTTCGGAAGGAAATGGAGGAGATGTCCAAGAAGACGAAGAGGCTTGAGAAGGAGAACGAAACGATGAAGCGGAAACATGAGGCCACCAACGCCAGCATTATCAGCATGGCTGAGGAGCGCGAGGCAATGCGGACCACAACGGCCGAAGCTACGAAGAAGGCCGAGAAGCTGATCAGTATCATCGAGCAGATGCAGCAACAGGGTCGCAAAGTGCCGCCTAATATGGTGGCCACGCTAGAGAGCTGCTATGCGGACAGCAACGGTCACCATGGGGAGAGGGAGGGTAGTGAATACTCGGACGAGGATAACGACGAAGATCATAGCGAAGAATTTGACGACGACACAGAGGAGGAAACACAGCCGCACCCACAGTCGCATGCCACGGAGAACTCACCAGCTCCACGACCGTATGGCCCAGAACGACCCCCAGTTCCGGTCGCGGTCCCCCAACCCGCGACTAACGGTCACTGAGAGGAGATCCATCGCCAGATGTGGGAGGCCAATTCAGAGACGGGAGTGTAGAGTTGTTGCGGCAGCATCTGCTGGTCAACGCCCCTGCGAAGGGAACTCCAAATTGGGCAAAAGTCGGCACTGCAGTGGGGGAAGACCCTACTCTGACCCAGCGGCAGAAAGTGCTGCTGGTGAAAAAACAACGCAACCAGAGTCGTCTTGTGAGAGTTGTGGTAGGCTCTCCGGACGAGGACAGTGACAGCTCCCCCTCACGCGACGCACAAACGGACGCCTGTTGCACTGGATGGCTCGGCTCTACTCGCTTTGTATCCATAATCACACACCAAGGGGCATATCATGGGGGCCAGAGAACATTCATAGCGTGTCGGCATAGCGTTCTGTGTGGTTTGGATATTGTGTCCAAATCATACGCGCAGGTTGGTTTGGATTTGGGTATGCTTCCCCCGGGATCTTCAGTGTCAGTTGGGCCTCGGTAAACAGTCATATTTGCGAGGTTTCCCAGGACCGGGCATGTGTATGGTCATCTTTGCAACTCTGTCCCATTGGTCTAGATCGGGCGACAGCAGGTGGTCACCCGTTGCCTTATCGCGGGCCCCTTTCTGGTTGATAGCTGTATCACAGTTGTCTACCGTGTATTTTTGATACATAGGCGGATTGTCTTAACAAACAAACCCTACTTATGACTTCTTAATGGCCCAAGGAGGGCGGAGACGTGATTTTTCCCAGTGCTTACATTCGTGTCGTTGCCCTTTTGCTGTGTCAGAACCTCGAAACGAGTATTCGTTAAGTGACCTAAGAGCAAGACATACCGCTACCAAGATAAATGTCAATCGAATACCAATCAAGGTGCCTTCATTGATTGGCCTGGGACGACGTTGTTGGCTTACTCTAGCGACGCTGATATGACTTGAGCGGCCATTGAGTTTTAAGAGTAAGATGTAAACAAACGAGGGGATATGTTCGAAATTCATAGGTACCTTAGTCTTCATGTATTGTGTCGAGTCATCAAGGTACCTACACGTGGTAGTGTAACCACCTTGTTCTCCTTGAAGTACCTAGGTATCCAATTGCCTCCCACTACCTTAGGTACCTTATTACCTATAGAGTAAGGTAGGTACGGTACACTCCGTATCCCGTACTTTTTAGTATGACACCTCCGTATCTTATGTATCCGTATCCGTATTCGATGTGCGAGACAGATGATGTGATTACTCATCGCTCCGTGTCTGATGTGGATGCGCGGGACTTCACAGTCCATCCCAGAATACAGACGGAAGAAATACCCAATCTGGTGCAACCAACCAGCCACCTCCGACAAAGTATTACCTCTTGCTCCCGACTCTTGGAGCGATCCTGACCCATCCATCATCATCGAATACTTCGCTACGTTATGACGAATGTCCAATGTTCTGTGACTGGAGTACCATCCAAAGCGACATCCAACACGTTATTCGCCTGCCTGTCCCCTGTGCTGACTTCTGCCCATTGACTTCAAATCTACCTGGTGCCGGATCGACGAACACCGATTTGAATAGTTGCATTTCGAATGGCCAAGGCTAACCTCAACCTGCCCTGGTCGTGGCCTCTTCTTGGAACCATTTGACGTATCATCCCTTGAATTCCTTCTTGTCGACACGTTCCGTTTCTCTCCTCGTTCCTTGAACGAATCATCGCCAACAGAATCGGCTTCAATGCACTACTACGACCGAATCGGATTCTTGACGTTACGTAAATGTCGCTTTTCGCATCGACTTCCCTTCCTCTCGACGTCAACCAAGAGTTGTCATCAATACTCGTAATATCTCTCTATCTCCGAAAGCCTTCGACGCCTCGTCACCTCCCTTCCTATCCTCGTTTTCCTCCCGCCGGCCGATCCACTAGACATCATCGCTATCAACATGGCTTTCTTTGAAGACCCACGACTCCGGCAACGCTGGAACCGCATATCATACAATGCCGGCGAAGTGACCGAGACGGCAGCGGCGGGGATCTGGTCTTTCCAAAACCATTACGTCAACCCCTGCCTCGTGTCTCTCGCCGCCTGCCTCGAACAATGCACCACGCCCTGTCTCGGAGACCGCGAAGAGCGTGCGCGCCGACGCCGGGAGAGGGAACGGGCCCGAGGGAGCGCCGAGTATATTTTCGACTTTTACGACGACTGGTACGCCGAAGACGAGTTCGAGGGCGGAGCCGGCGGCAGCGTCGGCGGCGGCGGTATACTGGGCGGCTGGGGAGAGGAGCACTGGGACAGGTTGCTGGCCGGCACGGGGTCGCAGCGGCGCCACCACCACGGCGACCACGGCGTCCTGCAGGACCAGCCTAAGCGGAGGAGGGGGATGAGCATGAGCTACGGCACACGAGGCGGGCGGCGACTGGGGAGCGCGGAACAGGATCCCACTATTATCCCCAGCACGCAGCCGATCGGGTTCCTGGGCCGATTGCCATGGAAGCTGGGCAAGACGCTGCGATACAAACCCAGCGCGGCGGATTTGCAGGACCACCCGCGGCAGCATGACGAGCCGGGTTACCACCTGGGTGCGGGAGAGCAGGAACCGCTGCTGCATGACCACGAGGAAGACTCGGGCGAGGAGGGTGCCGGCAGGATGGAGACGGCAGACCGGGACACTGTGAGTGGTAGGAAGCGAAGCGGGACGACAGGGTCGGGGGATACGTCGGATTCGTACCGGTCGCGGGGCGACCTGTTCCCTAGCGACGGCGAGGGCGACGAAGACGCGGTGCCGCTGGACGACGAGTTTGCTATGGTGTTGGACAAGGTTACCGGGGATGACAGGAGCAGTGGCAGGAGTGGGCGGACGCGAAACAGCAAGGGCAAGCGAAAGGCCGGGACGATGTCACGAACGGTGTCGGGGGCGACAATCAACTCGACGCACTCGCGAGCTAGCACGGTAGGGCTGCGGCATAGCTCGGCGGGAAGCATGGCGGCATCGCCCGAGGCGGTGAGGATACCTTCGATGGAGGATCTGCAGCTCGAGGAAGACAGGTTACGGAAGGAGGAGGAGGAGCAGATTGAGAGGAAGCGGAGGGCGGCGGCGGCATTGGCCATTGAGCGGGGACTGCGGGCACGGGCGGGTTCGGGCTCGTCTCAGCAACCACGATCACCGGCGGCGGAGATAACGAGCGGCGAGTATGAGGCTCAGACTGTCGAGGAAGAGGTTGTGGATGGGGACAAACCAGCATCCGTTGAAAAGGAGCAATCGCAATCGCTACAACAGCCGCCATGGGTAGACGCCGACCGGCCCAGCCTACAGGTCGAAAAGACAAACATGGATCAGGAACGGCACGGAGTAGAAGATAAGACAACGGCGGCTACATCACACTCAGGGCAAGCACGAGCACCAGCACCAGCACCAGCACCAGCACCAGCACCAGCACAAGCACCAGCATCAGAAGCAAGGCCGGCAACGGAATCAGCAACAGCATCGGTATTGGCCGCCGTGAACGACGCAAAGGGCAGCGGACCCTCGGGAGGCTTCGTACCAGCACGACTCCCGCAATTCCGGTAGACAGGGAGGAGGCAACTAAGGGAGCATCTGCAACGCAGCCGTTTGGAAAGAGGGCGAGGTTTTTCCGTTCTTCCCATTCAACGTACATAGGTTGGGGATACCAAGGCGGAGGAGATAGTAGATGCATGTATATATGGGTATCATCTAACCGTGGATGGGTATGAGAAAGCACAGCTATGGATGTATGAGTATGAAGGCGACGATAATCAACGGGCATGAATTAGACATGCCAGTTTCATGCGACTTTAGAGTCGCCGGGCGTCCATGCAACAGGGAAAGGTTTTGTCGCCGATGGGTATTAAGAGCTTCCATTTGGAGATCATGGCAGAAAAGGGCATTGGATCCTCTCCGGAGAAAGTCTGCCTCTTGACTTGCATCTACGCTTGGTCGAAGCTCATATGCTAATAATTAGTCAGTCTTGATCTTGACAGTGATTCACCCGGTTCTCAGTATTCAGACTCGGAAAGCTGATTTCATGACGGTGGGTATGTAAATTGCTGATGAATGTGATAATTGTATTCTGTAGAAAACTGTACAAGTCAGACGCTGGCTACCTACGGAGTGCAAACGTGAAGCTGTCCGAGATGCGTAGGTAATTCCCATCTACTTCTCTACTTCTCAGGGTGCGAGTTTCACAAGCGAAGTGCCGGGCCGAGGCATAACTGAGCCTGGGAAAGGCGACCGCGGGAAGCAGTTTCCCCAGCTGTGCACTTCCCCGCAAAATGGGGCACGAGGGTTTCAAGTGGAGAGCTCCTTCCTCATACCTACTCCGTGCATTCCCTCCACTTCATTACGAAGAGTACCCCATGTCCTCCCTATTGACCTTAATAAAGCAAGGTACCAGAGCAAACTGCCCCCCTGACCACATCCACCCTGACATCTTGTGCTAGCTTTCTTGCTCATACTTCCTCCTCCACCTCGTCCCCTCCAACTTGTCTCCCATCCTCTCTCAGAACGGCATTACCACATTGTTATTTTCAACAGTTCCTCACTTCATCTGAACGAAGGGAGCTGTTCTGTTTTTGAAACCTCAGCTCCCGCGCATATCTCGACAGCATCTCTCTCTGCCACCCGTCTGGCCCCTCGAGATATATCATATTTCGATATCCGTCCCCATCCACTCTGGTCGTAATTCTTCGTATCCGCCTGTACAAAATACATCTTCACCATGGCAGCACCCACGGCATCTAATCCGGCTCGCGGCCCTATCACCACCCCACTGACCTCCCTTTTGGGCATCTCCCATCCCATCCTCCTTGCCGGTATGGCGCGGACCTCCGGTGGCCGCCTTGCCGCTGCTGTATCTAACGCTGGCGGGCTTGGCGTCATTGGCGGTTTCCAATATACTCCAGACCAACTCCGCGATATCGTTGCCGAGCTTAAAGCCAACCTGCGTGACCCCTCACTGCCCTTCGGCATCGATCTTGCCCTGCCCCAGGTTGGCGGCTCCGCTCGCAAGACGAACCATGATTATACCGGTGGGAAACTCGACGAACTCATCGATATCACCATCGAGTCGGGCGCTCGCCTCTTTGTCTCTGCCGTAGGCGTCCCGCCCCCTGCTGTCATCGACCGCCTCCATGCCGCCGGCATCCTCGTCATGAACATGGTGGGCCACCCACGCCACGCCGTCAAGGCTCTCGACCTCGGCGTCGATATCATCTGCGCACAAGGCGGTGAGGGCGGTGGTCACACCGGGAATGTCGCCGCCTCCGTCCTCATCCCCGCCGTCGTCGACGTCGCCCGTGCCTATCGCCCACCCATGCTCGGCGGCCAACCCGCCCTCGTCGTCGCGGCCGGCGGTATCTTGGGAGGTCGCTCCCTCGCTGCCTCCCTCATGCAGGGCGCCGTCGGCGTCTGGGTGGGTACGCGCTTCGTCGCCTCCGTCGAGGCCGGTTGCTCCGAGGCCCATAAGCAGGCCGTGGTCTCGTGCGGTTTCGACGGCACTGAGCGGACCCTCGTCCTCTCGGGCCGACCCCTCCGCATGAAGACCAACGAGTACATCCGCCGTTGGCACCAGAACCCGGATCGCATCCGGGAATTGTGTGACAGCGGCATAGTTCCCGTCGAATATGACTTTGAGAAAGGCAATGATGTGGACTTGCCTCATCTCATGGGTCAAGTCGCCGGTGCCATTACCAAGATTCAGCCGGCCGCTGAAATTGTGGACGAGATGGTGACTGAGGCCGCCGAGAGTCTGAAGTTGGCAAGTCTCTATCTGGGAGAGAGCAGCGGTCAACAAACCGGCAAGAGCAAGTTATAAAAACGAGCGCAGACCGCGCGACGGCGCAAATCTCTTCTCTGTACAACCGTACCCCGTACATTATGGCCAGGCGGTGGCATGGCGAGGCGCCCGAAATTCAATGGCAGTTATCATTCTGGGCCGCTAGCAAAAGTCCAGCTGCCTTCGTCATACTCCTTTCGCACCTTGCTTTTGTCGAGAAATCACCCCACCCGCCCTTACCCTCACACATCCTCTCTCTCTCTCTTCTCTTCTCTTCTTTTTTTTCTTTTCTCTTGCTCAAAGGCCAAAACAATCTAGAACAGACCACACCGGTGCCAGTATAGCATAGACGGGCAGTCTGAGGAATACAAACGCCGACACGCGCAACGCCAACTGGCCTCTGTACCACATCTCGTCTTTCCAAGCATCAGGGTCTTCGATCTTACCAAACTGCAGCTGCACCCCGGGCGGCAAGCCCGTCCCAGCCACGAACGATGCCAACTCCTCACTTTCCCTTACCGCTAATACCGGCCCTGCCCGCCCGTAGAACCGCTCGAGGCCTCTATTCGCTCGCAAAATATCTTCCAACAAGCGTTCTACGCTGAAAGTTTCGACTTCTTCCTCCCGGCTCTCCGGTTTGGGTTCGTACGCCACGATTCGTGTCCGAGGGCCCGGCATCGTCCGCGTCGTCCGCTTAGACGACGATCCCATCCGGTACTTCCGAAACACGAGCGTCACCGTCTCCAGCTCCTTGAGGTGGTCAAGCTTCACCGGCATGTCATCAAAGTCTCGGGAAGGCACTGGTGGCGTCCATTCCCCCCCTGGCAACCAGGAAATCAGGGCCACGGCTACTCGGATTAAGAACGTTCTGCGTTTTGTGATAGTATAGAGTGGATCGAGTCGTTCCAATCGACATCGATGTCGGAACCCAGGCTCCTCCACCAACAGGGCTATGCGCCGCGCATGGACGATGGGCGCGAACCTGGGTTGAGCAAACCCGTCGACTGTAATGGCGTCACGGAATGGAATGACGGCCGTGTCGTTCATGGGACTGAAAAGATTCGGGCTCGTCTCAGGGTCCCATTGCCTCTTCCATCCGCCCCAACTCGTCTCCTCATTAATTTTCCAGTGGGCCGTTTCTCCTTCATGTCCTTCATGTTGTTCATGTCGTTCATGTCCCTTTGATTGGGGCAGCGGTGGTCCCCGACCGTACAGGTACCACATGGCGGCGGCACGAGCCTCGCGGTTCACCCGAAGTAGCGCAATAGTGTGGAAAGAGCCCTTGAGTGTGTTGATCACGAAGGGTGGTCCAAAGGGAATCCCCCTATCCAAGGGGCGCCACCGGCCCCAGGCGTTCCTTGGATGGGCGAAGCTTACTACCCGTTCCGGTATCGCTAGCGACCAGATCTGCATCCGTAGCTCGGTGGGTAGACGCTGGAAAGGGTGGAAAGTTTTTAACGGACGCCGGAGCCTTTTTCCACTTGGGCCACCCTTCTGCTTCACCGGTGTGCCTTCGCCTTTACGGCATATATTCCGATTTGCGTCATTTCTCTGAAACGGCTGAACGCAGAGCGAGCAGAGGTTTTTCGTCTTCGCCCTGACGGTATCGATAGCCTTGCGAAGCCGCAACGGGAGCCGGCGGCGGAGACGCAATGCCCCTTCTCCCTTTCTCGACATGGTTTTCGGATCAAGTGTGCCTTATGACGAAGGACCGGGATTGAAGACGGGGTCGAAGGACTACGGAAGGGATCACGTAGTCTTCTGACAAGTGTCAAGACATCGGAGGGACAGAAAAAAAATGGGGAAGATCATGGAGAGAGAGAGAGAAACAAAGCACATAATTGGGATACTCCCTGTTATTATCTATGTGTGAAAGGAGGGACAGGTTGGCCTCTGTATTCGTAAGTCGACGCCACGCGACTACCTTACTGTGCTTACGGAGTACTTCCGTAGGTCTCATTCCAATCGGACGGGGCCCGTGAGACGACGAGCTTGAAATCTTGGGATAAGGATTGACTTCGAGACCGGCTGCAAAGGCGCCCGTCATCTCGGCCATAAACACCGAGGAGCCCTTTGCCTTAGAGATATTGAATCCGTGCCCCTTTTTCGATGCCAGGCACCGGGACTCTGGGACGAGTATGAAGAAGACCAATGCATGATGCATCCCCAGGCGGTTTTAATAACGATATACCTTAGGGAGGACTTCACCTCTCTGCCTTGTGTCTCGCATCAGTTTACATAGTGGTGTATCAATGACTACTTCCGCGATATGAAGGAAGAAGAATGGGTGGGCGGACCAAACTGACGTCCAGGGATAATAAAGCGCATTTCCCAGTGTGTGATTACTTTGCACCATGCTGAGACAAGACTGATGGACCCTGGCGGCGGGGGACGCCTCCTCAGCACTTCGGAACCTAAATGAAACTCAGAGATGTCGAGTGCCTTTTGCTGGACTAAGGCTGCGAGGCCTTGTCGTCTGTTTACCACAACATGCGTTTCCGGGGATACTGTAAATCTGTATCCATATTTTTCACCAGCACTGATTGTCAGACGAAGATGAAGACGGAGAAGCAGGTTTAAGTGAGCAATAATTATCCGTCTAGCTACCGAGTACCTGACCGGGCGGGGAGTGATTAAAAGCATCTGAAGCCTCCCACTTTTTCAGAAGGGAGCGAATCACATAATACCCAGCCAGTAGTACTAAGGGTGCTGTGCGTCTTCGCCGGATGAAGTCCTCCTGGGCTGACCCCGACTCCCCAGGCCTCCGTTCCAGAAGGATGAGCAATAACTACCTTATCCATCTCCCAACTTCGGAGACTTCGGGGTATCTTGCCGGTATCCTTATTTCCTGTTCTTGACATGGGAAGGGGAAGTTTTACGAGAACGCCCGAGGCGCAGCGACGCGCCCTCAAGTTCCATGTTCCATAGTACCAGCCAACACCATCTCCCAAACGACACAATGCATCGTCAGAAACTCATAACACATGTATCATGTCCTCCATCTTGTTGGTCCATGTGTCTTCTGTTAAATCGCGCGTTTGTTATAAATAAACAAACACAGGAAGACACAGGCGCATAGAAGGACAACGGGGAAAAGAAAAAGGGAAGAAAGTAAAAAGAAGGGAATAACAAGAAAGATTGGTGCCGAGTCAAAAAAGCGTGGGCTTACTACTTAGCATGCGGAAAGACAAACAAGAAAAACACGTTAGAAATTGGCCTTGGATGGATCCAGGTTCAACTCTAGGTGCCGTCTTCCTGCCAGCTCCTTAGTGGGCATGTCCACACCGCAGTGAAAGAGACAGAAGTAAATAGTTAAACACTGAAGAGGAATTGCAGATCCTCAGGACTAAGGGACTCCATCGCCTGATCATCGGCATTCACGGTCGAGTGAATCATGCTGGTCTTTTTCTCTTGGATGAGGACCATGCGGCTCTCTACCGAATCCTCGATACAGAGCCGGGCGATGATGCAGGGACGAGTTTGTCCAATGCGATGACATCGGTCAGCAGATTGCCACTCGGCAGCGGGATTCCACCAACTGATTACGGTCCAATGTTAGTCCAATTCAGAGTGAAGAAAGGGGGGTGGGGGAGGAGGAGGACACGGAAAATGGAACTTACGGGTCGACAATAAACACGCGGGAAGCCTCGGTCAAATTCAGGGCTACACCTCCGGCTTTGAGAGAGACCAGGAAACACTCGACGTTGGTGTTCTTCATGAAGTGGTCGATTGAGGCTTGCCGTTGAGCAGGGCTCATGGTCCCGTCCAGCATGACAGTCGTGACGCCTGCACGTCGGAGCCGCCACTCGACCAGTTGCAGCATGGATGTGAACTGCGAGAAAATGATAGACTTGTGAGATGCCCTGGGTGAGCGAAGCAGGTGGATTTCGCGGACCAAGAGTTCAATCTTGGAAGACGAGGTCCACTTCGCCATGTTGATGCGGTTAATGATGGACGACTTCTTGACCAGGACCTCATCTTGGTCCATCTCTGGCTGCTCCAAGTCGATGCTCAGCGGGATGTGGCATTGCGGACATCCCGGTTCCTCAGTGGAAAATACATATCCCTTGACACAGGCACGGCAGAAGTCATGCTTGCAGCGGCTGCGGACGGCATCTTCGGCCGGTTCATCACAAATGCAGCACACGAGCACATTTTGCCCGCCTTGGGCGTTCTTCTTCAAGATGAGATCCGGGTGGTCAGCGATCTGACGCATCTGCATGATGAGACCAAAGATGTTGGCGTAATTGTTCAGTAGCACGCCCTGCGACACGTACGTCTCGAACTTCCGTTTGCTGTTGGTCATGATGCTGTTGGCGAGGTCGTTTTCCACCTCGCCAAAGAACTGCCGATGCACACGGATCTCCTTAACGGGAAGTTCCATGGCATTGGTGTGGTCCTTCTTCAGACGACGAAGCATGATCCGGTCGGTCAAGAGCCGTAGCTTCCTGAACGCCTCAGCACCAGGACCCAGGTTTCCGAACCTTTGGATGGGATTGAGAAGTTCTTGGTTGAATACCGACACGTGTTGCATGCCAGCGTGGGAGCAAACCGTGCAGCGGCTGTCGTGGTCGAGACTCCACTCGAGCGAGCTGCAGGGACATTGCTTGCAAAAATAGGATGCGAAGGGCTTAACGTTCAGAAACCGCAGGAGGGAGAAGAACTCTCCGATACGATTTTGAAGAGGCGTCCCGGTCAGGCACCATCGGTACGAGGCGTTGAGGGCGAAGCAGGCTTTGGCAGTCATGGTAGTGCGAGTCTTGATGCAATGTGCTTCGTCCAGGATGACGCGGTGGAAATGTATCTGGTGAATCAAGCTTTTCTCCCTGTATAGGCCGTCTTTGCGCTGGAATCCTTTTTCCTGCTTGCGATACATGGACTCGAGACTGTTGTACGACATGATAATGACATCGAACTCCTTGAGCTGCTTAAGCGTCATGCTTTTCGTTTTGCTGTTCGTGCCATGGAAGACAAAAGTCTTGAGTGTCCCGTCAGTGTACGAAGCGATCTCGGACGTCCACTGCATGAGAGCAACCGGGGGCACAAGGACGAGGGACGGTGATTTGGCTGGGTAGTCGGACATGATCAACGACACGGCCTGGATGGTCTTTCCGAGACCCATTTCATCGCCTAGCAGGCCGCCTTCCCACGGTCCGCGCTCCATCGCCTGCATCCAAGCGAGGCCATCAAGCTGGAAGTGCTTTAACTGTCGGGAAATGCTTGGAGGCTGCGTGGCCCTTTCGGGCTTGAGGATCGCCTTGCTCTCCAATTCCTGCCACATTGTTGTGAGCTCAGGGTGGTGATGTACTAGTCGCTGGCGCTCCAAAACTGAACGTGGGGTGAGGTTTGGACGTTGGAAGCCACGCCTGAGACGAGACGCATGTGTGACAGCGGCACCGATGTTATTGACGGGCTCGTCTAGGCTTTCAGCTTCAGTGTCATCCAGAGACGCATTAAAATCGGAAATCTCATTCTCTAAATCTGAGACGCTTAAGACTCCGAGTTGACGAGCAGTTGTAAAGACAGGCGTCGGAGCGATGCGGCCAGCCCTGGCAGAGAGGTGTGGGTTTGGGCGGGTTCCGCCAGTGGAAGATCTGTTCCGTGGCTGCAGGAAGTCATCCGACTCCAGAGAGTCGTCGGAAAACGTCGCATCGGCGTCACTATCCGCGATGACATCTCCATCTGACTCCACTGCCGTAGGGTCGCTCAACATCTCTCCTGCGTCATCAGAGTCGAGAATGACCCTGGCTCGCTTGGCCGATTGATCCGGCCCCGAGAGGGTCGACCGAGATGGTCGGCCCCGCTTGCGACCGGTTGATGGGGTGAGCACATTCTCGGTGGCCTGAGCGCCCGGATTGATAGATGACCGTGTTCGAAGGGTGGGATGTGTGGTATATGAGGCAGAAGCGGCAGAGACCTCACTCCTCCGGTACTCGTCGGCTTGGAGAATTCGGGCCATCAATTCATCACGGGATACGTCGTTGAAGGGGGCCCCCTGGACTCCAACATCCTCTGTCGGGTCACTGTTGAGGATGGAGGCCAATGAGAAACGGCTTTGGCGGCTCTCGCGCTCGGTGGGTGCTCTTCCTTGTGAAGGGATCTGTACCTCTAGACGCGAACCTCTACCAAACGCAAACGTGGAAGGGAGTGTCTTTGGATGGCCGCTGACAGCGGCGGCTGGTGCTGGGGTAGCTTCGATGCTCGTAGCGGGAGTAGAATAGTCACTCGCCGAGGTAAGATCAGCCGAGCCTGACGTAGACGGTACGATCTCGTTTGCAAGTAGCGAGCTCCTGGTAACCCTACGGGACCGGTCCCCAAGAGGGAGAGGGGTAGTAGCGGTAGGGGTCGATGGAGGCAGGCTAGTTGTCGAGGCAGACCGAGTCACCCGACCCAAGCCTACACCAACACCGGGAGCATGAGGAGAGGCTGGAGGAAGAGCATTAGTTCTTGAAGATTTCACGGGCAGAGGATCATGATTCTTCACTCACTCATTGGCTGCGTGGTTGGGGCACTAGCTGGAATACCAGGTTGTGTCGAAGGACGGCGACCTCGAGGCATTTTGATAAGTGATAAGAATCACAAGCTAATAACCTCCAACAGGGCAGTGCGAGAAAACAGTGCAGCTGATATCATGAGTCAGTAATGCGCGCATATAGGTAGCAAAGATGCAATTCATGGATATAACCAAGCAAATAAACATATATACGCGTGCGTGCAATATATCTGAATGAACAGGAGAAAGGATAAGGACTAACTGTGATGGTGCTGGCCTAAGAAGGCGAGTTCAAATGCACATACACAGATATAACAGAGGGCAAGCTGGATAAGATGCAAATGCTTTTGCAAATACAACCTGGGGGTGAATGGGTCAGTCCTCAAAGGAAGAGTATATAGAACATTACCATTACACCCATGCAAGAAGGTGCTGGATATGATAGTGGAAAGGAGGGTATGAACAAGATCAAGAGTCGAAATGATGGAAGTCTGAAGTAAGAGAAGAGAAAGACTTGATGTGAGATAAGGCAGGATTACGGAGTAGATCCGATGCATAGAGGTACGAAGGAAGGGAGGTTAGATGATCTTGACGGAAAAAAAAAAAGGGAAAGAAAATAATAAAAATTCATAAGGTAAGAGTGAGGTTCTGAATACCCAAGATCAAGGCAGGAGCATTGTATTCGTAAAGGCGAAATGGCACTGGATGGAATAAAGGAAAAGGGGAAGGCACTTACAGATAGGTACTTAGGTACCTCCAGCAAAGAACACTGTAGGTAACCATATAGGGGTTTTTAGGCAACCACGGAGAAGTGGAAAAGCATTCGAAAAGAAGACTCCTACTCTCGTAAATGTTGTACTAAAGGATGCAGAGATATTTCTTGCCTAAAGCGTTACCAAATACCGTCCCTAAAGAGAGATATAAGACAGTAAAATATATCAAGGGTAGAGAATAAGGAAGGTCATGGAGTAAAAAACGAAAAAACTCTCCAGAAAATAGTGGTTTTAAATGTGAACTTGATAAAAGTGCAAAAAGAGCCATTGACCATCTAAAACCGCTATAATAAATTGAATAAGATACTATGCTATTCCGTAAATGGCTTGGACGCGTTATGGTGGCGAAGGGAGAGAGAATCACGAAGTCACGTGCTGCCATTAAAAAATCTTTGTCTGTGGGGATAGAGCAGGATCTTCTACGTTGTTTATTACGAAACTGAACCCTAGCAAGTTGTCTCGAAAAAGGTGCGAAGTCATGTGACCTATAGCCTGGCTCTTTTAGGGCAACACTGTGATTTTCTTGGGCTAAGACTGTAATGGAAAGCAAGAGGATCGTGGAACAGTGCGGAGAAGGTTAAAAGCCGAAGATAGCAAACCCCATACCGTGCGAACAGAATTTTAACCACACTTCTTATCTTTGCCCTTCCACCGTGTGAAGACAATAGAATACACTGTCTGTTCGCTCTTGCGTCACTCACAGACAAGGTGTGAAGTTACTTACTTGGTACAGTAAATAGAGATATTCACACACTGTAATGGATAATTTCAGGTACGTACCAGTTCAGTCATCGCGTAATAAGATAGAGACTGCCTTCGCGTCTCCCAGGGAGGACCCTCACTTGCCCCTCCAACCCTGCTCCATCTCTTCCAGTTCAATCTGAGCCTTCGCCAAGACGCAGGGCATCAGAAGGAGCTAGCCAAAGGACTAATTCCCCTTTCTTTTCCTTAGGCTCCTTCATCCCAGGTCGTCTGGTCCTCGGACTCAACGATCTCTGGACTGGCTCGAATTTTTCGAACAGGTCCATCAGGGAGAGACACTCCCTCCTCCTAGTAAGGCTGTTGAGGAAGCCGAGTCGCATTCCAGAGCAGGAGACACATCCAAGGGCCCGCCAATTCCTGCTCGTGCGAGCTCTCCACAGGTTCAAACTTTTGAGACTTCCTATACCGAAGCCGACGATATGTCGCGGCGTGTTACTGGACCGTATGTACTCTGTTGGACTACTCCTGCTCGTCTGCATTCCACTTTTCAGCTACTTTTACTGACTTGAAATATAGCCGGTCCGCCTTGACCGATTATTTGGCCGTATGTTGCGTTGAACATGACCTCTCTCTCTCTCTCTCTCTCTCTCTCTCTATGTCTTCATTACGCGCCTACTCGGTGCTTGTCCATTCTTTGTTTCCTGTTGTATACTGACCTCTGACTCTGACTCTGACTCTCACTCTGACTCCATTAGGCCAACAACATTTCCGCGACCCGTATCCGACAAGAGGCTGAGCAACGACGAGGAGCCGCTGCGACCGAACGTGGAGAACCCCCGGTCCAAAATGACGTGGCCGAGGAGTCGTCTGTCGCTGAAGAAGCGGCGGCGGCCGCCGTGACAGTTACCGAAGCTGGCCCGTCCACCCGCCTTCGCACCCGCAGCGCCAGAAGCGGACATACCGAGACCAATGCCGACCAAGAGAAGAAAAAGAAGACTCAGAAGCAAGTCATCGAGAAAATCAAGGCCCAAAAGGCAGCCAAACGCCGCAAGAAGAATGATGGTGACGACGGTGACGATTTTGACTTGGACTTTTTGGACTCGGGCAAGGCTGCCCTCCCTGGCCAGAGGGACAATTGTGAGGACTGTGGCCAACGCTTCACGGTGACTCCATACTCTCGAACCGGCCCTAATGGCGGACTCCTCTGCATGTCGTGCAGTCGGGATTTGAACAAGAAGGACAGCCAGGGAAAGAAAAGGAAGAAACGCATCTCTACCGGGCCAGTGGGAAAGCGTCGCCAAGTTCAGAGCACCATCATGGACGGCAGCTTCCAACTCGGAGCTCCTTCCCTCGTGTCTCTCTGCGTCAATACTCTTGCCAAGAATGCCCATCTGGCCGATAGCCTGGAGCATATGCCGGAGCGTAGCATTGATGCCATCGCGCAGCACTTCAGCCGACACCGGTTGGTGAATCCTAACACTCTGCCTCTCTTCCTCCAGCCTGGGGCCACTACTATCCGGGTCTATGACTGTGCCTACCTCGGATCGCATGACTTGACCAAGATCCTCCAAATCTGCCCCAAGTTGAAGCACCTGACACTTCGGAATGCCATTCAGTTCAAGGATGAAGTCATGGACTTCTTGCTGAGCCGCCATATCGAGCTGGAGACCTTCTCGCTGCACGGTGCCAACCTACTCTCCGAGGATCGGTGGGAGAGGTTTCTGGCTACGAAAGGCGAGCATCTGGTTAAACTCAGCGTCTGGTTCACCGATAGGCATTTCGGGGACAACATCGTGTCTAGACTCCACTCGTGGTGTCCTAAGCTCGAACGCCTCAAAATCGATGGCAATCAGGAGCTGACCAGCGAAGGCGTCAAGGCCATCGGTAAGATTCAGTCCTTACGACAGCTTTACCTGCGGATCACGCAAAACATCACGCCTAAGGCCCTCGTTTCGCTCATTGGCGCTATCGGGGCCAAGCTGGAGGTTCTCGTTTTGGCGGATGTTCCGGAATGCAACGACGAGGTCCTTACGGCCATCAAGAAACATTGCACCGCTCTCAGGAAGCTCCGCATCATGGAGTCGGAACATATAACCGATGAGGGGTTTACCGATCTTTTCACGAACTGGGGTAATTCGCCGCTCAAGAACATCAGTTTCGCGGCGTGCCGGCACTTGGACGCGGTGGTCCCCCGCGAGAACCCGGACAAGGTCGGTCTCTGTTCTGATGGATTCCGCGCCCTGATGGATCATTCCGGGCAGAAACTCAAACAACTGGACATTGCTTCCTGCCGCCACGTGGGCAAAGCAGCCTTGGAAGAGGTATTCTCGGAGACCAAAAAGTATCCCGACCTCCTGTCGATCGACGTTAGCTTCTGCGAGGACGTGGACGATTTTATCGTCGGCCGTATCTTCCGAAGCTGCCCGGCGCTGAAGGAGCTGAAGGTGTTTGGCTGCATGCGGATCGGCCGGGATGTCCAGCCACCCCGTAACGTGGTCCTTTTGGGCGTTCCCAATGCCATGGGTGTCGAGATTGGCGGCACGTGGTGAAGGTAGTATTTCTGACGACTGAAAGGGGCATGGAGAGGCGAAACGGAGAGCAATGACATGGCGAACCGGCGAAACGCGTTGTTTCGAAATTTACGGGCTTTCGGCATCTGCAGCGTTACGCAAAAGGGGCTGAAAAGGTTTAACATGGTCGTAGTCCTCCCTCCTCCTTTTATCTGACGAGCCATTGCATGAGTGTACAGGTAAGATACTTAAATTTTTTCATTTTTTTTTTTTTCATCGGCGGGGACACTGGTTGTCAGTCGCACAGGCTGCGGTACTCGGTGTTCAAGGATGGTATCACACCGGATCAGGGGAATTTTTCTGCCTTCTTTTCGGGTTTTTTTTTTCGCACTCGAATGCGGGATCATAAAGATATATTACTTGCTTTTCACATTCCTCAGTAAGGTGGACAGACTCCAACCGGACCCCTTGATGACGAGGTATCAATCAAGAAGGAACAGAAAAGTCCCATTTGCGACCAAGGCGACGAGGAGGGGCTAGAGAAGTGCATATCATAGGTGGACATAAAGTCATAAGTGTAAATCATACATTGTTTGATATATACATACTCTGAGATTGTATCAGAAAAGTTATATACGGGGTAATCTTCAGCCCTGCAGAGTAGGGTGGTAGATATACTGTAGTATATCGTGATATGGCCAACATATTTACCAGTGTCGGTTTTCTTCCCAAAATTCGTTGTCTCATGCCACCTCCCATGGCTCCTCCATTTTTTGAAGCAATGAAGCACGTCCCTAAACCCATCCTCGCGAGAGTTCTCGTCTCCTCGCAAAACATCAGCTCGTCTACGCCCTCTACTCGGCGCCGCCGTGGCCGACAAACTCGATGTCCTGGCGGACCCATTCGTTGAGCTTGGCCTCGAGCAGCTCCTGCTCGCTGCTGGCGTTGGAAGAGAAGGCGGCGGTCCTGAGCTTGGGGCTGCAGGCGCTAGCGACGTGGAGGTAGTGGCCGTGGGCGTCGACGTCGAGGCCAGAGGTGCCAGCGTTGCAGGCGGTGTTGGCGATGCCGTGGCAGACGTCGATGTCGTTGGCGGTGTAGTCGATGTGGTTGGAAGGGCCGCCGTTGAGCCAGTGCTCCGGGGTGGTGTGGCGGTAGCCGAAGAGGATGGGCGGCAGGCGGGTGACGGGGTCGGCGCCGTGGGTGAGGCGCCAGTTCGCGCCGGCCTGGGCGGAGACGAAGTTGGCGAACTCGGCGTTGCCGGCGCGGGGGGCGCCGTAGCTGTACAGGTCGTTGGGGATGTTCTCCTCGGCGCGCAGGTAGGCGGCGGCCAGGGTGGCGACAGCGGCGCCGAGAGAGTGGCCGGTCACGACGACCCTGTAGCTGGGGTACTGGGCACGAGCGGCGCGGATGGCGTTGACGGCGGGGGTCCGCAGACCCTGCCAGGCGCGGGTGAAGCCAGAGTGGGTCCGGCAGCCGCGGACGAGGGAGTCGCAGTTGAGGAAGAGGAAGTCGATGTTGGTGAGCCAGTTGAGGATCTCGTTGGAGCCGCGGATGCTGAGGACGATGAGCCCGGCTATGTCATCCCTGGCTACAAAGCCCTCAATGCCGGTGTCATCGCCGCGGAACGAAGCCAGGGTCGTCGCCTGGTTGGCTTCGACGCGGGGGCAGGCGTTGGCGCCGCAGACAACACGGGCACCGGCGGCGTTCTGGCTGTTGCAGTACGCGGCACCGGCGTACTGAACGAAGAAACGGAGGCTGTCCAGCTCCGCCGGTGTTACGGAAAGGGCTGCAAAGAAGAGAAGGGGGGAAAGCGTCAGCGGTGGACACACATGAGGCACTATAGGGGGTGGGAAGAGAACTCACTGCTGAAGTCGGCTGTCTCGAGGGACCGGCTGTACTCCTCAAGAGGGAGGGCCGATGCCGTTAGGGCGAGGAGAGAGAGGAAGGGAAGTTTGAACAACATTTTGACACAGTAAAGGGGATGCTGTATACTGAGGGCCGAATGGGGTTGGAAGAAAGGGAGGGAGAGGCTCAGGGGCAGGGACTTGCGTAGAGGGAAACCGACGACGATGCTTAACCTGGACGACACAACAAGTCACGAACCTCGAGAAGGGGGGTGAAGATGCCGATATATATGTACGAATAGACCCTGGACGATAGTCAAGGGAGTTCCTGGGCAGACCTGTTTTGGGCGGCCCCATCGGAAGTCACCGAACCGCTGAAGTCTCGCAATGGGATCTTGGGGGCTCAGGGATTATACGCAGGAACACCCCCAAATTGGGTCCCGCGTCCTGGCCCACGGTGTGTGTTGATGCGCGAGGATGCGGCGACGTATCCGTACTCCCATCCGCATTCGCCAGACGCGCACGGAAGCAGGACAGGCACCTAGCACTTCGTAGGTCACGGACGGAGTCGGTAGGCGCCATGGCGGTCAACGGAAGTTGATCGATGGCGGGATGAGGCTGGCCGGAGACCACCTCAAGCACACCATTGGCGGAAGCCCAGACACTTGGCTGGCCCGGAGAAGGACGCTAGGCTTTGAGACATGCTGTAGGTGGGAGAAGGAAAACAAAGAAAAAAAGATCGGGTAAGTCGATGGTGGTGCAGGTGAAGAAGACGCGGGAACCAGTCCAGTCGCCAACGCCTCCACACCACTCACTCGTTGAGGAAGGTGAAGGGACAGCCGCATAGTTCTCCGCAGAGGAGGAGGCCATGATCGCCATCCAGGTGTTCGTGGGGAGAGACGGTCCGGGAATCGGATTCGAAGTCCAAGCTTGATCTCAACCTCAACGTTTCAACAGCTTCTGGGATCCGGGGTCGCATCGTAGGGTTGCATGCAGAGACCCATGAAGCCCATGGGGCTGCCAAGCATTGGCCACGAGCCGGCAATGTATGTATGGAAGTTGAGGGGCGAATATTCTTCTCCGCAGCGAAACGGGTAACGTAGAAAGAAGAGGGAGGGGAAGCTTTTTGGGACGTGGTCGTCAGTCAGCGGCATATCGACGCCTACCCAATAAAGCATAGCTTCGGACACGGCATCGGGGTGGCTGCCTTAATGGGACCTGGGAGCGTCGGGAGGATTGGATTTGCTGTACCGAATCTACTCGCTTTGTCCGTACTAACGGCACCGCGGGACCAAGATGGTGGGATGATGGGGATCTACGGCGGGGGGTGGATGATTAAGTGAGGTGAGAAGTCTTGATCGGGCTCGAGCTTTGGGTTGGTTTGGCGGTTGGCGGTTGGCGGTTGGCAGTTGGCAGTTGGCAGTTGACGGGTTGATAGTTGATGGTTGATGATCCCGACATCTAGCGGAGCCGTGAGGGAGAGCTGGTAGGAGTACAGAGTCTTCGGTAATTCCGAAGACTTCGGAGACAGCAAATCATTCGTAAGGTGGCTGGCTGATAGGCCTAACGGAAACGGTAAGTCGAAATTACATAGCTTCCTATACGGAGGCTGAATCGCACAACAGCTGAGAAGGGTTGATCAACATCCTACGGATACCAATTAGAAGCTGGAAAGTAGGACGTTGAGTCCATGGTTCAGAAGAAATTGGGAAGTTCTAGCGATGAATGCGGTGGATATTTGACGGTGTTGTGCGGGGGAGAAGGGAGACGAGGGGGAAAAGATCAGATCTAGTGGTCAAGGGAAGGGGTCAGGGGTTAGGGATAATAGGGTCGATGGAATGGCCCCGGGGTTTGGACGGAGTGCCGTAGCTTATTCGGCGGGTGTTGGACTATGGATTCCAGCCATGCCACTTGAGGTAAGGTACCTTATTAGTGGTTGCAGATAAACTGATATTAAAGCCTATGGCTAAGCTGATGGTTGGTGTAGGGCGAAGTAGGGCGGTATATTAACCTGATAGTTACTATAGGGTGTGGCCTGTGCGGGTTATATAATATACGTGTGTATCTTAAATAAGTATTAGGCGTTAATAGAGGGGTAAATAGAGAGGGGTACTGTAGCGAAGATAGTGATAAATAGATAGAATAAGAGGAAACGATTAGGAAACGATTAGGAAACGATTTAGAAACGATTCGGAAATAGTTTTAGAGGATATTAAAATCTATTCGACATAGAGTATAATTCGCTATTCGACGATTATAGTAAGCTTTAGGAGTTAGAGGATCTTCCTAAACTAAATATTCAGGAAGATAAATTTTATAATAATAGATTTCTTAAGAATAAGAATCTACGACTATATCTCTATAGACTTAATCCTAATCGATAACCTAGTAATATTAATATCTAAAGGCATTAGATTCCGGAAGTATACATATTCTTTATTATCCTTTAAAGATATAATTACTTACCTGAATTAGATTCGCCCCGAAACTAATAATAAACTATTTCTTATCTCCGTATCTACTTATAGTAATAGTAGACTTACGCTAGACTCTTAATCTATAAAAGTCTATAAGATCCTATATATAATTAGGATACCCGAGTTTTCTTAAACTTCAGAAAACGGCTTAGCTATCTTTATCTGGATAGATACTTTAAGTAATAACGAAAAAAAGACACCTTAAAAAGTCGTAAGTTATTTTTATTCTTTTTATATATATAGTCTTATTTTCTACTAATACACTCTTTTTCAGGTTTAGTATGATATTACCCGGAAATATCCAGGTTTTTTAACTATAAGCGTAGTACTTAGAGATACTCTGGTTTACCGCTATATATATACGTGTTAAGGCGGTAAAGCTTATAAATATCTCCCACGATAAGAATTCTACTATTCCGTGGTAACTCTATAACTACTAAGGAGAATTATTAGACGAAAAGAGGAAGTAAAAGAATTTACTATACGGAAAAAGACGCTTAGATAAGTAAAACGTATCGGGATATTTTAAGCTTAATACTAATATCGTTTTAGATAGGCTCGGGTATTAAAGGGAAGATTTAATCGAAAGATTATATATAGCGATTAGAAAGATATATATATTCTACGCGTAGATTTTAGCAGACTATATATAATTATTATCTTTAAATATCTTATTTTATCTAAACGCGTTCTTAATTAATTATAGTAACTTACGAACTTCGAATAATATTATATAGTATATTAGTCTTAGATAATCGCCGATATAACGCGTCGCTATATTAACACCGTGATTCTAATAAGTTTCTATTCTTATATAGACCTTATCCGATATACTTTCGATCCTACTATACACGGAATTCTCGCTAATCCAAATAAGACTGATTACTTTTTCGCGTTAAATCGTAGAAAACGAAAAATATATAGTAAGTCGATTCGGAAACGATTCGGAAATATTCAGAAACATTCAGAAATATTCAGAAACAATTAGGAAATAATTCGCGTAATATCTACTAATATCTCTATATAGATAAAGTTTATATCTCGGGCATTAGCGATATCTAATAATAAACCTATAATATAGAACTTAGATTTTTTATTCTTTATAATTTCGAGACGACTTTATAAGTTATTATAATATTATATAGAGTATACGCTTACCCTTTAATACTACCTCTAAAAGCCCCCCCCCTTTATAGTAAAAGGTATTTTTAGAGTACTCGCGAAGATTTATAACCCGAACCTAAAATTAAATATCTTTTTAAAGTCGAGCGAACTAAAAGAGTTTATCGCCGAATATAAAGAGAAAACTATTTTAGATATCTATACTAGTCTTACGAATTCCGACTATCTTCGATATATTCTTCGAAAGTAGCAGATTATCCTTTTCCCTTAAGGTAGTCGGAGTCTTACTTTAGGTCTTAAGTAGATAAAAGAGGCAAATAAACGTAAATATATAAGTGAATAACTAGTTATATCTATATATAGTTTCTAATATTCTACTCTAGTATATCTAGTACTTATTCGAGACCTAATATAACTATATAGTAATCTACTTCTTTAAGGAATAAGCGAAAATATAGACTTTCCCGGATATAAAATCCTTTTTCGTCGATACTAACTATAAGTATATTAATAGTATAGAGTAGAAGGAAATTATTTAGGTATAGTATAGCTATAATTCGGAAAGAGGTTTATTACCGAATCGTTTCCGAGTCGTTTCTAATAATATCTAATACTTCTTTTAGTAAGGTGCTATATAAACTCGGAGATAGTAGATATATATCTTTATATATTTTATTAGGTATTCCGGATCCTTAAAAATAAGTATAATATATAAGTTAAATAGAAATATCTACACGGTACTAGTCTTTTTAGAGTAACCTTAGACTAGGCCTTACTAGCGATTTAAGGCTTTAGCAGATACCTATAGTAAACATTCCGCCTAGCCGAAACTTAGGAAGATTAGGTATCTCGTTATATACGACTCTATATAATCTATTTCCGGAGAGGTATTAAGAGTATTCTAGGTAGTAATTAAGTAAGAGATAAAGGCTTAGCCTATTATTTCTTAATAACTCTTTTAGAATACCGGACTTAAGAGGACTATAATAACCTTTATAATAAGATTAGCCGTGAGTTTAGTCTAGAAATATTTCGGAAACGATTCGGAAACGATTCGAAAAACTTACTTATCCTTTAAAGATAATACCTTAATTCTATAACTAGGCGATATATAAGCGCCTCCTATATATTACTATAGAATTCTGCTAAGTAGCTTCGAATATTCTATTAAAGAATTAGACATTAATTACTAAGAACACTAATACGGTTAAGGTTATATATTAAGCCTCATATAAATAGACTAGACGATATATCTATATCCTTAAGGTTATCTAAGGGTAAGACTTTTAGTAAGTATTATAAATCTATTCGCTAACCATTATAGATATAAGGAATACGATTAAATACTACTTATAATAGATTATAATAAGGACGCCGGTACGATACTACTAGCGCACCTACACGCTACTGTTTATCACGTTATCCGAGAGGAGCTCCGAAAAGGGATAAATGGCACGAAAAAGACCTAGGCTAATATCGTAGCCCGGGCCCCTATAGCGGCACCGCCGCGGGACCCCGCACCCCCTAAAGTGATCCCCGCTAAGCACCACCGGGAACTAATTATCCGCTAAGGAACCCTCCCCGAAGACTAGCCCCTTAAGGACAGGACCCTAAAGGAGATTATCTAAGCTATAAACGCCACGACTACCCGACACGATACCGTAGCGGCACGGAAGCTACCGAGCGGAGATATCTGCCTTACCTTCACCGAAGGGGCATAGTGGTAGGCCACCTATAAGAAATAATAAATTAAG